TAGAACTACTAGTTTAAAGAATTTATATCTTATTCTAAAAGCTGCCTATATTATAAAAGCTAGTTCTATATAAATTTAATTAAAAATATATTAAGTATTTAATTTAGTAAATACTAATAATTTAGCTAATTAGTTAAGTATTTTAATAATAAGTAATAAGAAATAATAATTCTTTTTTATTATAATATAAAATTATAAGCTATTATTTTTCTTTTTAATAAATAAAACAAGTAATAAAAAAAGAAATTTAAATAATTTAATAAAGCTCTTTTTTAGGTTTTTAATAAGATATTCTTTTATTTTTTTCGAGTTTATTAAAGTTTATTTTATAGAAATAGGCTATTTTTATTAAGGAATTTGATTTATTAAAATAAAGCTTATAGTTAAAGAATTAAAATTAAAAAAGCTTATTTATTACTTTTTTAGAAAATGCCTTAGCTATATTATATAACTATATAAAAAGAAATATCCGGAATTCTTAAAGTTCTTTAGAATTAAAAAATAAAACATTACCGAGAATATCTAGTTTATTTATATCTAGAGAATATATAAGATTACTAGTTTAAATATAATATTTAGCGAATTATAATATTAATTATCTAATTATTATAAATAATAATAAATATTTTTTCGGTTTATAATTCTATTAATAGTAATTAATTTAATTAAGTTACCGGAATCTCTAGTATTTAATTAGAAAGTAGCTATTCTAATAAAATAAAATAAATAATTTAATAGCTTATTTATTTCAAAAATATTTAGATCTAGTTATTTTTTCCTTAATTAATATTTGGCTTTTCTTATAAAAAGATCTTATAAAAGAATAAGAAATATATTCTTTTAATTTTTTAGTTCAGTTTTATTAGTTTCTTTTAGAATTCTAATTAAAATACTTTCGGGATAAATTTTTTTTAATATTTCTTATTAAAATATCGGATGTTCTAAATAAGATTTAGCTAATTTATTTTATAATTCTTTAGCTAGTAGAATTAGTTCTATTAATAATCCAGTAAAATATTATATTTTATAAGCTATTTCTTTTCCAGGATTATATTATAAGAGCCAAAATTAATAATAAATAAATATTATTAAATTTAAGAATACTAATTAATAACTAGATTTATAATAGCTAGATATTAAATAGCTTTACTAAATTATTTATTAAAACTTATAAGGAAATAGGGGTTTTGAGTTTATATAAGAATATTTATAATACTTTTATTAAAGGACAAATATATATTTATTTTAATATTTACTAAATATTAGAAAATTATAGTTTTACTTTTCTAATATATTTTATATTTAATAAGGAACTAGTTTCTACTAATTAGCTAAATAAGATTTATAGGTCCTTAGTAAAGTTTTTATTCTAGAAGAGCTATTTTTATATTTAGAACTAGGCTTTTCCTAATTTATTAATATTATATTTCTTATTAGATAATATATAAAAATTAATATTCTTATTATTTATTCCTGAATTATTAGCTTTCTCTAAATAATTCTCTTTAATAAATATAACTTTATTAATATTAGAATAGACTCTATTTATATATCTAGGCTTTTTATAAATATAATAATAGAAGTCTTTGAATTAGTTTAATTTCTTTTTAAATTCTTAGTAAACTATTTTTTTTAGTTATAAAAATACCGGCTATTATAATTAATTTATTAGATATAGAATTATTATAGCTTCTTGAATTCCGGTAGGCTTTTTAGTCCGGAATAATATTTAATAATAAATAGTTTCTATTAGTTATTTCTCCTGAAATTACCAGTTTTTAATTAAAAGAAATCTATTCTTTTATTTTATATACTATTTAATAAGATTCCTAAATAAATTAAACTTCTTATTATTTAAGCTTTTAAATAGCTCGAGATTTATTTTATTTATTATATTATTATATTAATTATCTAGTAACTTTTCTAATTTTATTATTAAATAAATAAACTTTATTTAAAATACCAGAAATAGCTTATTTATTTATTTTGGGTACTAATATATTTCCTTTATTTCCTAGTATTTTATTTCCTTGCTTTTATTATAAGCTTATTAGAAGATTTTAAAGATTTATTTAATTATTAAAATTTATCTAATTAATTTAGGTTCTAGTTAATTATAAATAAAATTATAGGTATTTCCGGTTATATTATATAAATAATTTTTAGTAATTTACTATTAAATTTAGAAGAGTTCTATATTAGTTTATTTCTTATATTAAATATTTAATTATTAATTTAATAATTGTCTTTATTTATAAATAGAATAGGATTCTTTATTTTAATAAGCTATAATTAATTATTATAGACTAAAAGTAAAAGAAAGCCTTAGTATTAACTCTTATATAATTCTCCTAATAGGAACCTATTAATATAAGAAATGAGTAAAATAGAATAAAATAATAGGCCCTATTTATATTTTATTTAAATAAATTTCTTACTATTTATACTTTATTTAATACTCTATTTAATTATTCTAAAATATTCTAGAATAGTTAAATAATATATACGTGATATTACACGTGATATTACACGTGACACGCTAGCCTAATTAGGTAAGGCTCCGGGGTAGCCCGAGTCTAGTATTATTATATTACCTAATTAAGTAATAGTAAAGCTTAATAAATAAAATAGAACTTTAATATATTCTTAGGCTTTCTTAGCTATTAAGAGTAAACTCTTTTCTTAAGATACTCTTATTATTTAAATTATATAACAGACTTAATAAGAGTATTATTAAGATAATATCTTATTTAAAAAGCTAGGAGTTATTTAAAGACGAATTAGAAGAAAGAAAAAAAGAAGAAAAAAGCAGGAAAAGAAAGATTTCAAAAAGAGAAATCTGGTTTTTATAAAAGAAAAGTAGTATTTAAGTAGCCTTATATAAGCTCTAGTTTAAATTATATAGTATTACTTAATATATATCTTATTTATTTATTAATAATTAAATAAATATTAATTTATTATATTTATATAATTTATATATAACTATTCTTGAATTATTCTAGAATAATATTCTATTCTATTTTATTTAAATACTATATTATACTATTTAAAACTACTCTAGAATAGCTTAAATAGCTTGAATAGTTTTTGTCTATATTAGAACCTATAGTATTACTGAATATTTATTTATTTGAATTTCTATTTTATAGTTTTTTTTATACTAGTCTTTTCCTTATATAAAGTTAATTAGTAATTGCCTCTAGCTTATTAATTTTCCTAATAAATTAGTTAATACATAAGTGGAATTTCTAATAATATTCCGTTTATTTATTAGTTATAAAATAATATTTATTAATAAAATTATCTTATATAAGTAATTTCTATTAAGCCTTATTTATTTTCGGGATATTTATACTAATTTTAAATTTTAAATTAGCTAGTTACTCTTTAATATCTTTTTCCGGAATAGTATTATAATAGCTTTTCTAATAATATAGGTTTATAATATTAAAATCCGGCTTCTCTATTTTATTATACTAGTACTTCTTATTTAATATATTTATAGTAATAATATTTAGTTCTAAGCTATTTATAATAGCTTTAGAAGAAATATTAGCTATAGAAATAAATATTAAGTAGGTTCTTTTTATTTAATATTAGTAAACCATAACTAATTATTATCTTGTCTAATTTTAAATTAATAGACTAAAACTAATTATTATCTTTTCTTATTTTAAATTAGTAAACTATAACTAATTTTTCTTATATTAGGGAAAGGGGGCCGGTTCTTTTATTCTTATTAGTATTAAGGGAATATTATCTGGTCTAGTTAAGGGCCAGATTCCGAAATTAACCGGGTTATAGAGAATAGTATTTTTTTTCTTTTATATTAGTAAAGAACTAATTACTAGAAAAGAAGTATTATCTGCTCTAGTTAAGGGCCAGGCTCTGAGATTAACTAGGTTATAGAGAATATTATACTTCTAATTAAGCTCTCTAGTTCTTTATAGTTCGAGAAGATTATTAAATATTAAAAGCGGTATTCTGTTTTTGCTTTCCAAGAACAAATATAGGTCCTTTGCCGGTAGTATTATATTGCCTCTATAGGCCGAGTCGAGTAAGCTTAGTATTATATAATGGCGGGATTAATATAATAGTCGAAGGCTCAAAGTTCAAAGAATTTTATATATTAGAAAATACTAAGCTATAGAATAAAGTAGGGAGGATGCCTCGACCTTTAGTATTATTCCGTCCAAGCAATTCCGGCTTAGCTTTGTTTTGTGCCTATTTCCGATATCCTATCCTTGGCAGATCATGCCCTTACGCCAGCCGTCACACATATGCTATAAATACATAACAGCTATAGTATATGCAATACTGAACCATTTACTGCCTCAGCTTACTAAGCGGTGCTAGGTTAGATTCGTTAATAGCAGCTTTCAGCGACCCTAAATGCGACTAGCCCTAACCTTATTTTAGTCTTATCTCCGTATTTTAGGCTCTAGAGTCATATACGCTATCATGTAGTACGAAGATCACTGCATAAAGTGACGGGACTACCGGGCATTTGGGCCCTTAGCATCCCCAGGGCACAATTTAGGGGTTGAGCCCCGTTGTAAGGCCCTATGACTTCAGGCAAGGTATGAGAAGACCTCCAGGGGTAAATACCGTTGCTGGTGGAGCAACGACAGCGCCAGAAACGGACACCGCAGTGCCGTTAAAGCACAAATACCCTGTAATCCGTCACTTTATGTCGTGATCTTCGTAATCTAATTAAATATACTTAATTATATTTGATTATTTAGGCGTGATTTGATTAGGGGCTATATGACTTGATTTGATTTGAATAGGAGGTTCTAATCAAATCAAAACATTTGACACACTGTGGACCTAGACTCAATCGCGGCATGTGATCCGAGCCACATTTGCCTGATCTGGGGCGGTCTTCTCAGGTGTCAGCGTCCTCGTTTAAGTTCAATGTCCATCAGAACTAATTCATTTCCACCACAATTCACCCCCTTCCCCCTGCCCAAAAAAGACTGAATCAAAAACCAAAAATGTCTCCACAAACATTCTTTCTCTTTTCACTCCTCCCCCAAGAAATCCGATACCAAATATATACCCTCGCAACCGCCTCCCGCGTGCTCCCCATCTATGATAAGCCCTCCCGCACCCACGCGCATGCCATCCCCCCACCTCTCCTCCACACCTGTCAAGACTCCCGGCTCTTTCTCATCTCCAGTGGCTACCGGCTCGCATTTTCTAGCCCCACGGAGCCCAAGCAGGAACCGCAATGGTACAATCCTTCCCTCGACACCGTGCTCGTCGTCGATCCTGGATATTACCCGCCCCGACCTTGGTTGCACACTCGCTTTCTCGACAAAGATGCGAGGAGTGTGAGGGGTCTGGGTGTACCGGGATCTTGTTCCGCTGAGCTGGTGCCCACGGATCAGCTCTGGCGCCGTGTGCTGGAGGTCCTGAGATTCTTTGGTCGTGTTGAGGAAGTGCAGCTTGTGGAGACGATGGAATTCGCTACCTCGTGGCAGGGGTTGGAAACCTCAGCAGGCGTCTTCACGAGTTTTAGGGGGGTGCAGGTGGATTGGGTGGAGGTGGGGATTGAGGAGGCGAGGGGCTGGTGGAACGGAGATGAGTGTGGGGTTGTTTGTGGACGGTATTGTAGGGCGGTTGGCGAGTGGGTTAGAGATGGCGGGGATGAGATGGTGTATTTTAGGGAGTTGTATGGGAGGGCTGAGAAGATGTTGGAGAGTGTTGGGGGCGGGGAGAAGCAAGAGGGCCGGTGGGTGGTACCTAGGGTGAAGAGTGTGCATGTCATGAGTGAGTGGGGTAGGAGGAGGCTCGAGAGGTATAGAGAGAAGTTTTGGGAGGCGAGAGGGGAGGGGGGGATGAGGGATGTGGAGAGGGACAGGCCGTTGAGCCCGTGTACTGTAGTATTTGCGGATGACATTGAGGTGTTTGAGGACCCCTGGAGTGGACTTTGAGATTACCAGGATATGTTTTGGTGAGTGCGATGTTGGCTAGTAAAAGGGTTTGCATCACAGCCAGTGGATTGGTAGTTACGAGTCCTTGCAGACTAACTATTTCTCCTTCTCGTCCCCTTCATCTTTATACATCCCAAGATACGTAGCCTTCAGTCGAGACATCAAATGCTCATGCGCCGTCATCGCCTTGACTCCACTATCTCCTTTACCAGCCAACGCCTTCGTCTTCTCACTTGGTACAGCTTCTAAAACCGTCTCGCCAATCGGATGTCCGAAGTACGCAATGCTGTAGCGATCCTCCGCTGCTTCCTTCCCGCCTGCAGGAAACACGACTCTGTGGACCGTTGACTTGAAAAGGTTGTTCGTCCAGTAAGATAACAAATCGCCAATATTGACGAGAATTGGCGGTGAAGGGTCGGATTCCGTTCCTGGAGGGAAGACGGGGACGGGCGTCCATTCTGGCGGTGTGGTGGATGAGGATGGAGGCAAGATTTCCAGTCCTGGTTGTCCAGGTCTTTGAAATAGGAGGGTGATGGAGCCGTAATCTGAGTGTGCTCCCGCGCGGATGTCAACTTTGGGTTGGATTTCGATGTTTGAGGGGAGGGTGGGGTAGTGGAGGAGGCGCAGGGTGCAGGGGGTTGGTTCGGGGCCGTGGCGGTTGGAGAAGTATTTTGAGCCTTCGGTTGGGGAGGAGACCTGGTGGTGTTAGTATGAGGGGTGGCGGTTTGGAGGAAAGGGGGAGGGGGATGAGATGTACTTCAAGGCCAACGGCGAAGAGGTCTAGGATTTTGTTCATCATTGTCTGGCAGTATTTTTGGAAGGCGTAGAGCTCTGGTTCGTGATCTTCAAAGACTGGTGGAAGTGGCTGTTGAGCTTTGCCGTCTAAGAATCCTCCTAGGTTCATTGCTCTGATACTGGTCAGGTTGGCTGATTAGGTGAAGCAGGGCAGGGAAGGGTACTCTTTGAAATCACCCATCCAGAAGAAAGTCAGTCAGAAGCACAATTCCAGTGAGATAGAATACAAAGGACCACATACTCTCTGGGTCTTTGGATCTAAGGTCTCAGCATGCATTCCCACCCATCCTCTATTCTGTACAAAGTTCAGTCAGGTGTTGTCTAGAGACTCGGAAGCAGCCGGCCATACGTTTTCTTGAATCTTGCAGGGTTCCTTTTCTTCAATGGGAGAAGAGAAGAACTTTTTTGACTATTCAGATGTTAGTTATACGCAAATGAGACATGCTCTCGTATCCATTACCAATGCAAATATGCTGTCAATGGCCTCCACAGGGATGTCTTGTCCCAGACTCTTGATGTAAACAAAGCCATAAGTTGTTGCAGCATCCACGAGCTCTGTGGCAACGGTCTGTTCAGGTCCAGATAGATCAATCACAGGGATTTGACCAGACTGGCCATTTGGTGCTGCCATGTTTCCTTACGGGAGAATTGAGAGATGGTAGGACAAGGGAAGAGGATGAAAAGTGAGGCCAGTGAGACCACGATAAGACATCTGCGTCCTTATCGGATCGTCACGTGCAGAGTCAAAGCACTGCAACCAACAACTACGCTAAGCCTTATGAGTACCTGGAGCTTCGCGAGGCTTCAAAAAAGACACAACCTCTCTACTTCTTCCACAGCTTCTCGCACAATTGACCACCTACGCATCTGGCTCCGACTTCCTCTCTACAACTTCGCGCAGCTTCGCTTTCCGTCACACACCTCTCCTCCTCCTACAAAGCCTCAGAAGCTCCAGCCACAAATCGCCCCTTCCTCACGCACAATTCCCCCTCACGTCGTCACCCACGTCAATCCTCTCGAAACTTCCTGACATTTCACACAGAGAAGTGTGAAAGTTACCGCAGAAGGAAGGTGCGCACAACATACAGACAGCTTCCAACGTTCTCGCCAGTTTTCAAGATGCCTTGTAAGTCACCATTCTTCTTCATTTCGTATCACCAACCACCTCTGTTCGCTGCGCAATGGTCGGACGACCTCGCAACGATACGCAGTTCTGGAGCCCCCGGGGGTCCATTGCCCGGCAACTACTCAGCCAGCCTCGGCCTAACAGGCACGAATACTCGTACAATCAACCGCCTCTTGGGATTGTATATCCAGATTTGCCCCTACACCCGGACATGCTCGAGGTCTTCCAAGAAACTCCGTATGCTGCCCTGTTACGACCTCCGTACACGTTCCGACCTGTTGATTCACATGGATGGTTCATTATCAATGACTCGAGCTTATTGCCTACCTTCGAATCCGAGGGACAGGTTACAGATGGCGAGGGTCGATACCTTGGTCAAGTCGTTGGCGATGCAACAGCACTGTTGGAGAGAGCATCCTTAAGAGCGGGTATAACCAGCCCGTTATATCAATCCTCTTCCATGGAACTGGGCAATCGTAGCGAGCCGTCCTCAGCGGGTTCGTTCATGACGAATCCTTGGCCCAACTCCCGCGAGCAGCCTTCCAACCTTGCGACACCGGGGTCTCCCCGTGCCAGTTTTGCCAGCAGATCAGAGACCTTGGTGGCGCGGTCAGACTCAGGATGCTCAAATACAGAAGCTGACTCCCATGTTCCCCCAGTATGTGATAGAAAATTTGACGTTGGCGTCCCTCTAATGTAAGCATCGCGTCCACACTCGAAGAATTCCCAGGCTGACAACTTACACCTAGCTCTGAGTCCTTTCCTAGCGAACCCGGAACCGTCATCGGTGTCGAGGCAACATCCTACCTCCAACAGATCATCGACGATCCTCCTTCCCACGAACCACTCCTTGCAGCACTTGGGGGAGATCCGATTGGCTTGAAGCAACACCTTGAGAATGAGCTAAATAGATGGAAGGACAATAATATGAGGCCGCTCTTTGTCTTTGATGGTTTGAATGTTGTCGGTAAGGATGAGATCATCTTGGAGGCTGCCAGAGTTGCGCTCCAGAAGACAAACCATGCTTGGACCTTGTATGGGGAGAACCAACCTGCGGAAGCTGTCAGTGCTTTCGGAGCATCAGGTATGTCGTGTTATCCGATTCACTGTTCTGCGCTCACGTCAATTAGGTGCCGTCAGAGCTTCGGAATTATATCGCATCCTCCAAGAAGTTCTCCTGGAGCGAGATTTAGAATTCATGATTGCACCCTATAGTGCCGGCCCTCAGGTAAGCCTTCAGCCTTAGATTTTGATCGAAGCTAATTCAAAACACAGCTTGCATACCTACTGAACGAACACGAGAACGGAAATGCATATATTGACACCGTCATGGGATCAAGAGAGCTTCTCCTTTACAACATTGATCCTCTCATCCTTCCCATCACCCCAGCAGATTGGGAGAACAAAACCTTCCGTGGATTATCCAAGGAGCACATAATCGACGCCCTCAATATCGACCACAACAGATCACCAGACTTCCTTGAAGATGCTTTGCTCATGGCAGGCACATCGTTCTTGCCTACTTTCCCGGCCCTCCTCGACACTGAAATGTACAAAGAGCCGCCAACTCTGTTAAACATCCTCAACCTCCTCCGAGCTCAAGAAAAGTCGGTTGATAAAGCCTCGCGCTTCTTCGAGACGGACCTGAAGCTACGAGATCCTAAGTGGTATGACAAATACATGAAGGCAAAGATGGGTTTGAGGCATCCTGTAACCATGACTTTGGAAGGTGCCGTCGTTACCAAGGAGTGGGACAAACTCACAGGGGACAATAACCAATACCTTGGCTTGCAGCTTCCTCTAGAGTTGCATTTCTACCTCTCAACGGCTTTGGTCGGCCCCAGAACTCTGAATTATTTTGTATCACTAAAATCAGTCGTTTTTCCAACACTCGACGGCGTTACTTCCGACGAATACAAGCGCTTGGTCACACGAGCCTTGGTACCGGTCAAGGAGACCACTGCAGCTCTGATTGGGTCTCGCCTCCACCGCGGATTCCAATACAACGACATTGAGATGAGGTTTTGGTTCGATGAGGATGCCAAGCAAACTTTGGTCCATCGCAATATGCAAACACAGGTCAACCAGAAGGCCGATACTTGGGGAGTCAATGACGCACTGCTCAGCCCGCATAAGGGCGTCGGCCGTGGACCCGGAACTTTGTCATTCGCCCTCCTTTCTCTACAGATTGAAAACTTCCCACGAAGCACTATTTCCAGGGACAAGGTCACTGGACTCAATTCCAAATCCGAAGTCATCTCCAATGCCTTATGGCGCCTCCTCCATCTCCGAGGATATGTCAACGACCAGCACGAATTAACGGCCTGGGGTAGGGCTCTTGCAACGACCATGAAATCTATTGGTCCTACCGTCAATAAATACAACGACATCCATCATATCGAAGAAGCAGCGTTCTTGGCTTTTGAACTTCTTCGCTTCGACAACTTGAACTCTCGAAATCGGCATTCCGAGCTCATTGGTGGGCCATTGCGTGGATCTGACGAGGACAAAGCAAATTGCATTCTCATTGGTCGGACTGCTTGCCTCCTCAAGTTGCGACACCAGAACATCGGTTACACTGGGCCTCTGAGCAAAAACTTCTTGTCATTTCACTCTATCATCAAAGCTGTTCGGGAAATTGATCGAGATTTGCTGGAAGCTGTCACTGCGTCGATGTTTCTAAGCAACCAGGCTTCTCGAGAGCGGACCGATAAATCACATTACCGGGACTTGGGTCGCAGGTGAGTCAACAATCAAATTTTCTGGGTTTGCAAGCTGACTTGTAGTAGCCTTCAATTTTCAAAGGATATCGACACTGCTCTGGGCATCGCCGTCAAGACCTATCTCGATGACTTCCTCAAACTCGAATGGTCTATCGAAGAGCGTAAAGGGAAAAAGGCGGAGTACGTCCAGAGATACCTGCCGCACAGCTTCAACTTCGAGGAGGATCTCGACGTTGCTTTCAAGTTCTTCGATGCCGTCTACGATGGTGTCAAGACGTTTGGCGACGAGATCAGCGATACGGACAAGAATGCTTGGGATGCTGCAAAGGCGTATCTGGACAAGAGACGCTAGGGTCTGGGATGGGGTTGGGCGGTATTTATTCTTGCTGGTAACATCGATGGTGGGTTTCCGGTAGTGAGCATCGGTTAGGAATGGGGTAACCAAAAGGCTACAGGCGTATACTTAGGTTTCACTGGACATTCGGCTTTTGAGAAGCTCGGATGTAATGTGATAGGTGAGATGCAGAATAAATGTCGTCAACCCGAAAGATTCCCTCCTCGGTTTTCAATGAGTCAGCTGGTGATTGGTGGTGCACTGAAACAGCTTGCAAGTGCGAGAACTGCGAATCAGATGATCAGTGCCTTGGGCTGAGAATCACTCCACCTCGTCTCGAATGGGCCCTCTCTTCCTGTGGGCTATTTAAATCCCATTAATCACCTTTCCCCTCGACATTTCTCATCTAAAGTACATCATTTCCCGCCTCTACACTATCCAGGCTTTTGCTCTAGCCATCCTCAACACGGATTGAAATTAACAATACAGCAAAGACTCAATACCAAGGAAGATGTCAAATCACCGCTCCCTGACGCCTCGTCCCAGCCCAGAAGGTTATGGATACAAGGATGACGATTTTTCTACGTTGTATGAAGATGAATTTGAAAGGGAAGATGAAGATTGGGAATGCTGTCCCAACTGCTGGCCTCGGAGAATCGAACAGGAGTACGATGATCTTTATGGTGGGTACCCGGGTGCGTGGGCGGATATGGCTTTGTTGTGGCTTTATTGGGTGTGATTTAAGGATAGCGGAGAGATGTGGGAAGGAGAGCTGTGAGGGGTAAAAGATTCGGATAGCAAGGCAATGAATGCGTTGAAGTTTATTTCTCGTATTACTTGAAAATGAGGCCCGGATTTTGCTTGTACTTTATAAGTCGGATATTTTCTATCCAGCGAGCAGTTTTTTTTTGATTATTCTATCCTATCAGATACCAAAGAACCACTCCCCGATATTTTTTGATTTCTCCATTGTGTTATCCGGAGGTATAAGCTCTTTGAATCGTCTCGTCGCTGCTCTCACTATCAGCATCGCCATCCCCGGTTATTTGAAGCATCTCAGTCTCCCTTCGCTTCCATATTATCCATTCCCTACACCGTTTTCTTGGAAGTTAACAGAGCACACCACAACATCAGGTAATTCTACAATAAACGGAAATCAGAGATGCAGTACCCAGCGTATGGTTCGGTTGATGAAGGTTATGACAGCATGCATGAAGATGAAGAAGATACTTTAGTTGATGGCGAAGAGGAAGAAGAGAAGTGTGCACACTGCCCACTCTGTCCTTGTAATCCACCTTTTGACGAAGGAGGAGAAGTGGGAGTTGAGAATAGTGGAGGTGGTCTGGGTGGTGGGGGTGGTAACAGAGGTGCGTGGTTCGATGGGCTTCATTAATTGTTAACAATAAAGATCGGAAAAGGAAGGGACGGAGAAAAATTGGAAAGGGGTGGAGGTAGTAGATAGATAGCAGGCATGAATATGATGACAGTTGATCAGCAACTTGCGTCGAAGTTGTGAAGTTTTATGGGATAGTTCATACAGCCTATTGCTACTTGGGGAGGAGATCTTGAATTTTCTTTTCTCGGGCTGGGTTTATTCACGACGGATCGGTGAATCAATGTTTCATCTCCACAACATGCAAATGTATAATTCAAAATCTATATTCAAGAGCAGTCTGTGAATGTTCAATGGTGGATCTGTTGCATATCTGCCTTCTTCTCTGTTTCGCAAACCTCGCTCATCTTTAAGCATTACGATTCGTTACTTATCAATAGCCCCTCACCTTCCCATTCCTTCGTCCATTACTACTCAACATCTTCCTTCAGCTACTTCTCTAATATTAAGGCATCCAACAACTAATAAGAATAAACCGAAGATGTCCCTCTCTCCCTATACCCCTTTTACCCGGTTCACCCCTTCACCCCCATCGCCCCCATCACCCCCATCGCCACTATCGCCCCCATACCTCCCCCGATCCTCCTTCTTCAGTTCCTCCAGCAGCTTTGGCAACTCTGGCTACCAAAGATGTTTAAAATATATGCCGGATGCAAATGAACATTTTGAGGGAGGTGCCCTTTATCAAGGAAGAAGACCGCAGACGATACTGGACCCTGTACAGGAGTACGGGGGGCAAGTGGGGCAGGGAAAGATGGAGAGAGGAAGGAGAGGAGAGCAGGAGACGTACAGAGCGAGGGGGAGAGCGAGGGAGAGCGCGAGGGAGAGTGAGAGAGGAGAATCCTGGCATTGGGAAGAGGGTGGGAAGATGGACAAGACGACGAAGAAAGGGGACAGTAGAAAGCATGCGAAGACGACTAAGGGAGACAACAAGAGATATGTCTGGACTGAACGTAAATAGGGAAAGGCAAATGTATGCATTGACGTTTGACCAAGCTTAAAGCCGCCATGTTGAAAATTATAGTGTGTGGTTGACATGGATGTTTATACGATACTAGAATCATTCGTTGTTCCAGTAGCAGCGTTTCCATCTGATTCATATTCTTTCTCTATCATACCAAGCCGCTTTCTTGCACATATTTGTATCTCCTTATCTCCTCTCATCCGTTTTCTGCTTCTGTCCTTTAAACTCGACATCTTTAAGTACCCCAGAACACCCAAATCCTTCACACAGTTCAAACAACCAAGACCAATTTCAACAAGTCCTATATTATCTTTCAAGATGCTAGACTTTATAGTTCTCTCGGCGTCATTTAAATCAAAAACCATGCCGTATCGAACGGTAGCGAGTTCAAGAATAGAGAGCTCCTTAACAGCTCATGGTAATCAGACGATTACGAGCATTATGCAAAATTATTTCAACAGTATGAGAATTAAGAAGGCGCAGAGGGCCCCTGTCTAGAATATTGACGACATTATCCTGACGCACATGCACACATCGCTTGTGGACTTTACGGAAGAATATGGGATAAGAATGATAATTACAAGGCTAGTCCAGGTTGTGGAAGACCTTATGCGAAGCTAGGAGACATGGCCGCTCTATCAGACTCATATAATAAGGACAGGATAGTGATCGAAACAAGTAATAGAACGGGGAGCTAGATATCATGGGATGGTGGAGAGAGGTGTGCTATTGTAATAAGAAGACGTACGGGGTAGTGATAAACAAATTCTTTAGTGCTCGAAAACGTTTATTAAATAGTGAGAAACAACCCTTTCAGGTTTTTTGATATATCTTTGCCTTTTGCATGTTCTTTTAAATTTTGATAGGTCGATCAGTCTGCTTCTTTCAAATAGCTTTCTCTGCTTATAGGTCTCTTGAATCACCAATCGCATCTCGGATATTCCCTACATCTTCTCAATCTGTACATATGTCCGAATTTCTTCCTATTTCCTCTTCTGCCCTTCTCTCGAACCGCCCATAGCAAACCATGGACACTATTTCTTTAAAACTAATCGGTGCAGATCAAAGCCCATTTGCCTTGCTCTGACGAGGATACCGGTTATCCAGAACTCCATCAGATGAATATGGCCATGATGAGTTTGGATGAGAGAGAGGATGGAGGGTCTGCAATTGGAAAGGATGGGACGCCCAAGCGTTTGGGTGAGGTATAGTGGAGGAATGGGTAGATAGGCAACACGAACATGATCGCTGAGCCTCAAGATCCAACACCAATATTTATTTCCACTTAGGGACAACTTTCAGTACTTTCTGGGACGTTCCAGTCATTTTCAAGGTAAGAAGGAATAGAGCATTCGATTGAGGAAGATATCTTCAAGAACAAAGTTGAAGCATCTCCAGCCAAATATCGACTCCCTTTCACTCCCATTGGAATTGTGAAACACTTTGCTCCATGCTCAGAGTAGCCTCGACATGCCACTCCCTCCTCAAATTCAGAGACCCAAAGAAACTGGACTTCCTTCGAGGAACATTACAAGCTAGACTCCCTCAAAGCCTCCAACATGTGACTGACTCTCTCTTCGCATTGCTTCACAATTTCATTCTTTGCAATTTCAAACTTCTGGCGTATCTGATACTCTAGTGTCTTGCCCTTGTCGTAAAAAAGCTTCATCAGAACAGCCTCAGCCTCACCATCCTGGGTATGACAAGCGGTCTTCACTGCAAGCAAGATTGCGTTCCCCTCCAGATCCCAACTATACTGATGTACCGTTCTTGCAGCTTCTTGGGCTTGCGCAAAAATCTTTTCAATCGGGCGGGTGAAGTTGAGAGTGACGATGAACTTCTTGAGCTCTCTGTTCTTCTCCTCGCACTTCTTGACGCCCTCTTGATGATTGGTCGTCTGTCTCAGGCCTCCTGACATTTGAGATTGGATCAGATCCTTTGGATCAGGTTCGATGCGATGAATGGCGCCATCGAGCTCGGACAGATTATCATCGATATATCCTGGTTACGGTTGCCGTGGTCGGTGGTATCGGGCTCGCTTCCGTCAGGGGCACAGCGTGCGCACTGCCTTTCATAGGAGATGTCTACAGAGCAGCCAGATGCATCGCCGCAATCTTTGGCAACAACAATATAATGCCCGCAGGAATAGAGGCAGACTGTCTTGCAGTGGCAACGGAGCTCAAGGTTGTCTTCACCTTTAGACGCCATCCTTGTCGTTGAGGTGCGGTATTCGTTGGACCTGATAGCTATGTTAGCTTGACCTCAACCTATAGAACGCGCAAGAGAACTTACGGATCTTGTTCTGGTGGTGCCTCGAGTGGAGGTTCTCGAGAGGTGGTTGCCGCTGGAAGAAGGAAAGACGCGAGGTTGCGTGATTAGGATTAAGTTTTCAGGCGACGAGCTCGATTCACTTTTGGGCTCAGCTTCAGATCGATGCCTTGAAAAGAATCTGATTGAAATTGAACTCGTTCTGTCTTCATCTGCTGAAATATTTCTCTGGGAAAAATAATTCAATTGTGTATGAGAACGGCTTAAGGATCCGTTTGCCAGCACATAGAAGTTGGTAATTTTACCTAGGCGTTCACGCAAATTGAACCGTTTATTGATGGACTTATTTATTATTTCTCTTTCGGATTCTACTCTACAGGTTGAATTAGCATCCATCTACGCTTTCGTATTAGCTGTTCCTCACGGAAACAGCAACGTATTCTGTGACAGTCCTCAGAGCATGAGCAAGCCCCACCGATGCTTCTCAAACCTCCATCAAGATTCAAGAATCGGTCCTCAACCAGAAGTTTGCTCCATTACTCGTAAGCTCAGGCCCAAAGTCCATCCCATGCCACCGTAACAGCTACATAATACTATCTTCTTATAGCTCCTTCCTCGCAGATACTCAACAAAGTAGCGCCTTCCAATCCGACAATGCAACCCGCCTGCGCTATTCCTTCTCACTCCGAGAGCAAGTATTCTACATCTACAACAACTTGAACGAACTCCTCACACTTCTTCAATGCCTCCATAACTTCCCTATCGCCCATCTTCTCCTCTGAAGTCTGCAGTTCAACACCAACGAAATCGACGAAGTCTCTGAACCCCTTGACCATCTTGCCAAAATCCGGCTCACCAGCACACTCGAAGGTGTATTTGATTTGCTTGTCGAACCATACCTCCAAACGGGAAGAAGCGAGAGCCGACTTGAGATTGGCGACTTTGGTGACCATTGGTGCTGTGAACGTGATTGCTGCAATGTGCAAGAGTTTCTCCTTACTGCCTCCAAACTCGGGTGTCACTTGGCGTTGCTGGTCGCTGACCTGTACTTGATCGTTACCATGTGCTTGGGCTTGGGCATCAAGCTGTACTTGGGCATTGTGTGGATTTCCGTTGCATTCTTGGCCTCCATTCTCCTGGCTTTGTTGACGGCTGAGTTGCTGTTCAGCCTTCTCCCTCTCCGCCCGAAGTCGCCAATCGATGTTTGCGGTAGCATTACCATTGTTTTTGTGTGGATTCGGTTGAGCATTGGCTTGGACTTGGCTGTTGCCGTGACCTTGTCCACTGACTTGTGCTTGACCACCAGCTGCTGCTCTGTTTGCGCGAATTTGCTCGCGAACCTCAATCTGCTGCTGCGCGAGCTTTCTCTCCTGCTGAATCTTATCAAGAACTTGGGCTTCATTAACACGAATCCTCTCCGCATCCATTGCGCGCAGCAGGATCTCTCTCTCCTCAGGTCTGACAACTTGTTTGAATGGACTCTCAGTCATGTTGGCAGGCTCGTCCATACTCGTTGATACCGTAGCGGGAGACATCGTCATCGCATATCCGCGCTGTGTTGGCGGATCTCGCAACATGCCAACCTGAGCCTGTAGATTTCCAATCTCAACATTCTTCTCGGCTTCTCTGAGTTCAGCCTGCTCCAGCTTCGCCTCGAGTTGTTTGATGTGGAGTTCAAAAGAAAATTCCTTTCCGTTCTCCTCCTCCTTGATCTCTCTACCGAGGAGTCCATTGCCTCTACTGTCCGCATTGACTCCACTACCTTCGCTGCTTGCATTTGCGTTACCAAACTTCCCGACGAGAGCCCTCTCCGCGAGTGCCTTCTTATGCTTCTCATACTCCGACCTCAAGTACTCGTCCGGGTCCATGGGTGGTTCCATCTTGACCAACGCACGGTTCTCATTTTCGTCTACTGGCTCTTTCTTGATCTTAACGGGTGTCATGGGCTCGGAATCACTCGCTTTTGCCAAGCTTGGAAGCTGGGGTGGGGCTGCAGAGGAGTAGAAGTCTAACTGGGTGCAACTCGGGCAAAGGCCTGGCTGGATGGTGGATCTCTTGGTACAGCGGCTGCTGGTACGCTTGCAACTCGGCTGGTGCTGATAGATTGAATGACCGCAGATGGCCCAGGTTGTGCCGGTTGTGATGCACGGCGGCATTATGATTTGATGGCGGGCGCGAAGGTGAGGCAATCGCAGCTCAGTGATGGGACGTGGTGAGGAAGGAGGAGAAGTCGCAGATGCGTGACGTTGTTGCTCGTGGCGCGAGAATCAAGGAGACGCTGAATGACTTTCGTCCTCTAGACGCGACAAGATCGATGTTGGGAGAAAGCTAAAGGCTTGACTAGGGAGAAATAGAGGAGTAGAGTTGAAATCGCAAAGTTGTCGCGTTGCCAAAACAGACAGACTTAAGCGAGATCGGCAAGCTTCCCCTGAATTCACTATTTATAGGCTTCACTATGGCACAACAGTTCACTTTTGATATCTCGACAACTATATTGCTTTGGCTCCTTCATTTCTCAATTAATAGCTAGGCTACAGTTGAAAGCAGAGGCGACGAAGCGACTTGCTGCTACCGAGCCCTGAAGAGACACTCAAAACAGAAGAGCGAGGCATCCAGATGCCAGAATCAGCAATTACATCTTCCTCCACCGGTCTGTAACTCTAGCAACATGTACATCCAGGCTTATTGATTCTCCAGAAATTGCAGAAGCAGAATTCAACAAATGCGATTGTCCGAGCACCATCGAGACAACACGTGTTGGAGCCCCGTCTTGCACTGCTCGACGATCTCTTTCTCAGCCTTCTCCACCTTCTCCATGAAATAGTTATCAAAGGCTTCCGCAAAGGTTTGCATACGGTCGCGGATCTCGCAGATATCCTCCCAACTGTTCCGTCGAACCGCCTCTTGTAGTTCCGTGAACAATGAGCCGACGAAGGGGCTCCATCTGTGTTCTGTCAGCTCCCCCTTCAGATTCGCGAAGCCGGATAGAATAGGGGTGATGAAGCCGATGGTTGCCATTTTCAGAACCTCTTTTCCATATAGAGTCTCGGCAAATAGTGTCTTGTTGACGAGATTCGCCGTGGTTGGATTGATTGTTGCAGCAGGCTGCTTGACTTTCTTACGGAGGTCCCCCAGCTCCATCTCCTGGCGGTAGGCGATGCTCTTTTGTTTCTCCGCCTCTGCCTCGTTCGCCTTCAGTGATGCCATCAACTTCTCGATCTCAGCGCTCTTCTCTTTTTCCATTCTCTGACGAGCGAGTACTTGCAGATTGACCTTGGTGGTCTGATCATGGAGTACATAGTGGAGTCTCTTGAGCTCTGCACCGTCTTCTGTGCTTTTTAGACGGAGTTGCTGAAGTTCGGCGGCTTGCTTGCTCATCCTGCGGCTGAACTCGTCAAGCTTGATGGCATATCCATTGATCTGAGCACGAAGAATTGTGGTATGTTCACCAAGACTAGGGCCACCCAATACTTGACGCGACTTGCAGTCTGGACAGAAATCGGCTAGGCGGTGGAATGGCATTCTACCTTCTTTGAATTGGTCGTACAGCTCGTTGTTGCACCATCCAAACCTGTTGATCGTGTGACCGCACTGGTAGTGTTTCTGGTAATAGTACTCCGGCGGTCCTTTGCCATCGTTCAGAGCCATGATTGCTTCGCTTCTTCTCGTCTCGAAGATTCGCGTTGTTGTTGCTTTTGTGACTCTGGTATGTATGCGATGCTGCAACATCATCAGCATCCATCCCATCAATCTCCTACGCGGAAGTGGCTCACCCTTATCTCTCAAATATCCCGCAGTAAGAGAAGAATTCGTGAAGTTCGTGAATTGTCGCGGTTGGGGTACGTGGTGTTGAGGAGTTGATTAGAGTTGAAAGAAGAAGTGGTGTTTGACGGTTGGATGTTACCGAGGGATTCACTGTTGAATTTTTGGGGAGGGCGGGAAGAAGCATACGCGAGTTTGCAGCCGGATGGAATGAAAGGTTTTGCATTTTGAGAAGGCCTTGCTATATGTCAATTGATCTCCACCGATAGATCGTTGAGGCCGACTGAGCGACTCTACTTAATACCCATAATCACATTCATTGCCAGATCCCGGACACCCTCAAGTCGAGTCGCGGCTTCCTCGAATCCACGCTTTGTCGATTTTTCATATTTCTTCCTCAGCTGCTTGTACTCCGCTTGAATACTAGGACTTTGAAGGAGAGCACGACTTATTTCCACGCCTGGGCCCGCCTTGCTCGCCGCAACTGCAACTATAAGGTCAACCATACCTTCTGTCTCGTTCAACCGTGTCTGAAAACTTTCGCTGTGAGATACTTGTTTTCCCTTCAAGCTACGGTACTCCGCGGTTAGCTCTATCAACTTCCCAGACAACTCTTTCTTGCAATCCCTTAACAACTTCCCGAAGACTACCTTCAGCTGCAGATTGTTTTGGGCGTTGGCGACTTGAGTCTTCAGAAACTCGGCATGTGCCTTGAGCGCAGCCACTGTTTCCTCACAATCTTGACGGGTTTTGTTTTTATTCTTTTCTGCCTCGCGTCCAGTAGCTGCGCACTCGGGACACTTATCGGGGGAGTGCTTTTCAAGGATTGCCGCTGCATTTCGTCCTCTCATTGGGATGACGACAGTGTTCTCGGAGTTGGGAATGATTAGAGCACTAATGAGCTTGTGGCCACAGGAAAAAATCCACTCCTGCCTTCTCTCAGTTGTGTTGTCTAGACCACGGCGGCTGCGGGTTGAGGGCGGGCTGGGCATTGGTTGATCATCAAGCTCTATTTCCAAGGAATCATCAAACTCCATTTCCAAGGAATATGACATGATCGATCGATAACCTTCTCTGAAAATTCTCGAGGTCTCGTGCCGTGGCGATTGATTACTCCACTCAAAGACAAACACTGGAATCGATGTGGTTTGGAATACCCTTCTTATTCGAAGGGTGACGTTGTAAATCGAACGGCGGCTTCAATGGCACCTCCAGTCCATTCAAAGATCGAGACTTGCGTCTGGCCGCGAGGTGAGGTTGACAGGGTGCTGGATTTCGTTGTTCGAGTCAAGAAAGGAAAATGAAGTCGATGTGGTTGTAACATTCGAGAGGGCGAGGTCCGAAAGGGATCGAGGTGAATCGTTCGAATCAGATGTCGACAACGAAGTTGAGGTGGAATTCCTTTCGTCAGATCGAAGGTGGCTACGCTTCGGACTGGGCTCAAGAGCGAAGAAGGTATCCAAGAGAAGTTGGAAAGGTTGCGGTTTTGTTGCTCGAGTGGAGGAAGAAGGACTTGAAGTTGACGCGCTCGATGACGCCTGCGCGGAAAGCTTCGAAGTATTGCAGGATCCAAAAGCCTTCCTTGAGGCAAGTGTAGACAACGAGATTGAAGTGACGAACTGCAAGATGATGCTTCTGTCTCGAGCTTCGACAAGCTGGAGGTGTGGACCTTCTTGCTCGAGTCAAACACAGACAACAACTTTGAAGTGGCTATTTGCTTGTGGCCTTGCCCGAAATACTTATAGCCTCACAGGTGACATTGATGCGAAGCTAGAATTTGCCGATAAGGCTGAAGCCTTCATCTTTTCAGCCTTCCCCCTCGGCTGCTATAATTTTGTGTGGGTGCTATGTAATCAAATAACCGATTCTTCTGTCAATATACGGTCATAAGAGCTGCGCTTAGAGTGGACATAACAAGTCTAAGTTGCGGTGCCTAACCCGCACGTATGTTGCCAATGATGAAAAAAGTCGTTAGAGTCTTTATTCGCTCGGGTCCCATTCCACCTCTGGGGCTCGAGAGTTTTGCCATTTTGTATCTTGCTTTTGGGTTTGGCTTTGGATTTGGCTTTTGAGCATATATTTGGTCGTGGTACAATTTTTTTTGGCTGAGAAGAGAAAGGTGGTAACCGAGTCTCGCTTGTTTGACTCGACAGTCTCGATGGCGACTTCGGGGTTATATATGGACCTCCTTTCAAAAAATTGGAGTGCCGTAGGAAGAGCCACTCGTTCAAGTCAAGGCTCGTCACCCCGACGCGGTCATCGGATCGCATTGAACATCCTCCATCCTTCCCGGAGGTGTCAACCCACACTCCGCAAACGGCCAATCGAGCCACCTCCTCCACTCCTCATCCAACTGCCAATAAATCCTCTCCAACAACCTCTTCCGAAAACCACCCATATACCACGACTCCTCCAGCGGTCCCAGCAAGATGCAATAATGCGCCAACAGCACCAACGCCGCCGGTTCCCTCGCTCTCAACAAATCCAAAAACTCTAGCGGGATCCGCGCCGGCCATATCTGCACCGCAGTCCACATCGTAAACGCGCCTTTATCTGTCGCCGCCTGCGCCGCTCCAAACCCCCGCGCAAGAATGATCAACGAGCTGGTGTAGGCTGTCATTTGATGTTCCAGGATCTCAAGTAAGGGTGGATTCTTCCCGTAGATAGGGAGAGTGAGAAGTTGCTTCAACCGAGCTGCATGTTCTGGGTTCTCAGGGATGATGGGGAGCGGCTCGTCTTGCATAGTCTCTTCGATGAACGGTTTCATGAGTCCGTTCTTCATAACATGCCAAAGGTGGCTAAACATTGTGCAGCTGCTACGGATGACCTTGAGCCAGTCTGGGAGTCCAGATTCTTCGCCTTCTCTCACGAGTAGGAGAGTTTCGTCCTGTTCTTCGGCTGCGAAGCAGTGCACGATGAGCAGATGGGAGAATGCCAGGATCGCATTGCACGTTTCGTCCGTTGGGGCACCAACCAGGGCGCGGAACTGGGGGAGCCCGCGGGCTTGGTGGCAGGCTGCTATCATTTCGTATCGTCTTCGCTCGGGCGGGTTCAGCTGTGCGAGGTGGAGCGCCGCACAGGCGAGGATGCCGTGCTTGAGGAAGTCGTGACGGAATGCCATCTCGGGGATGGGGCCTTGCCATGTTTTTCTGCTCCTGGGGCCGCAGCCCAAGTCGTAGAATGTGAATTTTGTGAAGTGTCTGAAGAGGGCAACATCGTCAGCACTCCAGTCGGACGGGCACGGCGTTTCGGAGGCGAGGCTCCAAGGTTCGCTGCAGTCGGAGGGAGACGTCGTTTCCGACATGCGGCTGTCAGGTTCGCTCTGCGTGTCTGAATTCTGTGGTGATGGGGATTCTGGAGTGGACTGTGCAGATACAACGAAGTATCTCAACTGGTTGCCTCGAAAGAATGTCTGCAGGGTCACAGGTCGCCATTGCGAGAACCCACTTCCAACGACATCTTTGTGCGCAGTAGCCCAGTGGCTCTTCATGCGCTTCGTAGTAATACAGAGATGAGTGCATCCCTCTCTTGCACAAGCAAGGCCATTTTCGGTGGGTAGGAAGGGCACGGGAGCCTCGTGGGGTGGAGGCAGAACGACATGGGCAGTGTCGACGAGCTGCAGCCCCTTTGCATACTCGACCAGCTCTTGACGGTCGGAGCGATATATGTGATGGAGATCTTTGAGATGTCTGGATACCGCCGATGGTTGTATGGCGTATCGACACTCTTTACAGATCAAGACCCTCTGAGCCGGGAGATAGTGGAGCAGCTCGGACGGTGACGGCGGGGACGTGGCTGCAGGCATGGCCTGTACGTGTAGACTTACTAGACTGAGGCAGTTCGGGTTTCTGATTAATATTGAAATTTGATGAGTTGGTGGGAAATGGAGAAGCTTGAACTTGAAGAAGAGGCAAGGTAAAATCAAGATGCAGAACAGCGGGTGCCGTTCCCTTGCCAATGCTGGCGAGATGCAGCCACATGGCTCGTGCCCGGTCTAGTGTATCCACTGCCACGGGCGCCCGCATGTGTGGTTGCGCAAACGACGGTGCCGTTCCCTGCTCTCATTGGCAGAGCACATTCGCTTGCTCAGCAGGGGCAAGGGGCGGGTCGATACGCGAGGCCAATCCCGGCTCGGAGACGTGCCAGTGCCGACCGGGAAAGGGGGCGTGGTGTTGGGAGAGTTACGAATGCAAGGGGTTCAAGATCGACCATGGGTGATTGCAAAGTGCTTTCTAATACTTGGTGCGGCGTCTTGGTTTGACCGTGTCCATATCCATGATTGAAATCGGGTCCGACGTTCTTTCTCTCCTACTTATACACTTGACGTCCTCTGTTGCCGCTTTCTTTTCTGTGTTTCATTCTACATTCCCCCATACTTCGACTCCTCTCTTCAATACTCCTCACCACTCCTGATCCCACTTCTCACAAAAGCTTCTTGGGACAGCTTCCCTCCGAATACATTTCCCCAAAACCCCGCCTCGTTACGTCCCGCTCATTCAAAATGCACGACATCGTGATCCTCGGCGGCAACTTCGCTGGCGCAAATACAGCACACTACCTCCTACGCCATGTCCTCCCACTCCTAAATTCTAATGGGGATAAACCAGCCTACAAAGTAACCCTCGTCTCGCCCTCCGACCATACATTCTTCAAAATCGGTGCTCCACGAGCGATGGTATCCACAAACAAAGCCGAACGCCAGGCGCCTTTCGCCTCCCTCACCGAAGCCTTCTCCTCCTACCCCACTTCAACCTTCACCTTCGTTCTCGGTTCTGCGATCGCACTCGACGAGAAAACAAAGACCATTACTGTGAAGACTGAGAAGGAAGAGAGCGTGCATTACGACTCCCTCATCATCGCAACAGGCACAACTTCCCATTCTCCCCTATGGACACTCCATAATTCTTCCGAAGAAACAACGACAGCGTTCGAAGACTTGAACAAGAGCCTCGAAACCGCGAAGACAATCCTCATCGCAGGCGGCGGGCCAGCAGGCGTCGAAACCACAGGTGAAATCGCATATAAGTACAAGGGCCAAGGAAAATCAATCACGATTCTATCAGGTCAAGATGCACTTCTCTCATACCTCAAGCACCCCACCGTTTCCCGGCTCGCGGAATCACAACTCGCTCGGCTGGGCGTGAGGACCTTGCATAAGTTGCGCGTTCTCTCTTCTTCTGTTCTTGGAAGCGGGAGGACGGAAGTGCTGTTGAGCGATGGGAGCAAGCAAGTCGTGGACTTGTACATTGACATCACAGGCGGCACACCCAACTCCTCGTTCCTCCCCAGCTCGTGGCTCGATTCCCGCCAAAAGGTCATCACCGAGCCCACTACTCTCCGCGCGACCCCTGCTGGTGCGAATGTCTACTCCCTCGGCGACGTCGCCTCTTTCTCAAAAGGCAATGTCCTTGATTCCGTGTGGTGTGTTCCTGCTCTCGGATACTCGGTGTACGAGGATTTGAGCAAAGGGGGCAAGGGACTGAAGGAGAAGAGGTTCAAGCAGGTGGTGAAAGCCATGGGGGTCGTGCCTATTGGGCCGAAGGGTGGGGTGGGCGTTCTTTTTGGGTGGAGGGTGCCGAGTTGGTTTGTGTGGTTGGTTAAGGCGAGGGATTTCATGCTAGGAAAGGCGCCTGGCTTGGCGAGTGGGGCGGATGTTATGAAGGCATGAAGGGGTGTCGGGATGGCAATTCTTTTGGAGGGTTGGATTTGAGTTGATGTTTAGATATACCTGTTCCTTTTGTAGACATATAATAGAAAGACCATGCTCTGATATAAATTCTGATAGCAGTGAGTGGTGGCAGGAAGCTGTGCGCAGGGAAGTGAAAAGGGGGCGGGGTACTCACGCAAGCGAAAGCGGAACCATTTCCGCCGATCATCTTGTCATCAATCTCACGTCACAACCTCACCTCATCAACTCCATTTACCCTCCCCTCTCGATTACTCAAAGCACGACGATTACTGATCGCGTCCCAACACCAATACCACTCATCAATCCGTCTGCAAGCCCGCCAATCGCCCAAAATGGCCACCTCCCAGCCCCCAAAGCGTCAAAAGACCTCGCCCTTCGAACTCATCTACTGGCCCGGCGCCCCAGGACGCGGGGAACACGTCCGTCTTGCCCTCGAAGCAGCCGGCGCATCCTACACCGACACCGCCTTCATCGAAAACGGCATGAAACTCGTGCTCTCCCACATCGACGCCAAGAACCTCGGCGACGCTTCCAACCCCCCTCTTCTCGCGCCACCGATCCTCAAGCACGGAGACCTTCTCATTTCCCAAACAAGTAACATATTGCTGTACCTGGGACCGCGACTGGGCCTTGTTCCGAAGGATGATGAGGACGGGATATACAAGATCAATGAGCTGGCGTTGACGGCGCTGGACGGGCTGAGCAATGAGGCGCACGATACGCACCACCCCATTGCCAACGCGCTATACTACGAAGACCAGAAACCCGAAGCGAAGAAGAAGTCGGAGGACTATATCAAGATGCGGCTCCCGAAGTTCTTGGGGTATTTTGAGCGGGTGTTGAAAGGGGAGGCCAGTAAAGGTGGGGAGTGGCTCTATGGCGGGGAGATGACCTATGCGGATTTGGTGCTGTTTCAGTGTTTAGATGGGGTTAAGTTCGCTTTCCCGAAGGCAATGGAGAGGTTGGAGAAGGAAGGGAAGTTTAAGGGTGTTTTTGGGCTGTATGAGAGAGTTAAGGGGACGACGAAGATTAAGACGTATTTAGAGAGTGAGAGGAGGCAAACATACTCTTTGGGGATTTACAGGCATTATCCTGAGCTAGATGAGGACTGAAGCTACCATCGATTTACCCGGGTTTGGGGGTGAATGGGAATTAGAGTGATTGGGGCAGTCTGGATCGGCGTATCAAAAGTCTGCGCAAACAAAAGTCCGGAAGAACAAAAATGGGGAGTGTTCACCTCTTCAATCTGCGTCCAGGAGCTATGTTCTCACCTTGATCTGTGCGAAGCCCTTTCAACTGCAGGCTACAGCCTTTGAGTCGGTATATATGGCTAAGTAGCCACAAAACCTGCAGAAGTGTGCCATTGAATTACCTTACTAAAAGGTAGAGCATTAGTCGTTCGATTTATGTATTAAGCTGCTGTGCCATTGTTGCTCTTCAACTTATTATTGCGACCTGAGTGGCCATTGCCAAACTGGCCAATGGTCATCGAAGTCGTTTACGAAGTATCATTGTTGGGATCTGGTCTTGGCATTCTCTTGCATTCAACTCAGCTCACTTTCCCTCGATTACTTGCATAGGCGCCCCCAGATTGAACAACTTCCTTGTATTAAGAGAGAACCACTAAAGAAGTCGAAATCCATCCTTTTCGAATCGGTTGGTCAAGCCTCCTTCATTCCTATTGAGCATTAAATCATCCGCATCATTTTGCAGCCAAACCTACGCTGCTGGATGCCTTCCCCTCAGTGCGGGGAAGAAGGTAAAAGTCATTAAGGTAGCCAATAATACCGTACTCAGTGGTCCATATAACAATCCTCTCTTCGCAGCTGGTGGTGGTTCCACCCCGCTCAACACAAGAAAAAAGCCTGGAGCCATATCTGAAAGCAAGACATTAACACCACCGAAGGAGAAAACTCTTTGCAGCGACTGCTTTGCCATTGATATCTACCGAATCGATGCACAATGGCAACGTATGGGGCAAGGCTGGCACAATATCGAAAAATACACAATCGCAAGAGGCTATGGCCTAACCGGCGTGAAAGATCAGGCTCAACCTTTCAACCTCAAACGTAACTATGCTGCTCTAGACAAATCACCAGACGCATGTCCTTTGTGTGCACTCTCCAGAGACGAGCTTCTGGCCCAGAACTCGGATGGCATTGCTCCCCAATGCTAGATATTTGTATGAGTCCAAGTTTACTGGCATTGTTGAGGTGATATTCACATTTCTTTCAAGACGGTGAATGGGAGAATGGTTAGAGGGGAAAGGGTATTTACGGAGGAAAATTTGCCCGATAGGGTAAGGTTGACATCGGAGAAACAAGAAACGAGAAACGAGAAACGAGGCGCGAGGGCGGCGTGGGGCTAGACTAAATTTGGCGAGATCTGGGGAGAAAGGGACAATGACATACCCCCTGGTGTGGACGACTCCCGATTGGCACTTAATCGACACCTAGGAGTGGGGTTACAATTTCCCTCTTTTCCAGGCAATTGTGCTCCATTAACCTTATGTAAGCCAACCTGCATTTTCGTTACATAATCGACTCTGCCTCTCTAATAAATACAGTTTGAGATGCAGTGTGGTGAGTAATCGAAAATTGTGCAACCACATGAATTTGGGCGCGCCGAGGGCGGCTTAATCCACGTCCGGTCGGCCAAACCCACCTCCCATCGGCAAAAACGTTCTATCCGCCAGCGGCGAGAATGGTAAAGAAGAATATATTGATATACTGTTCTGAGAACTTCAAATCTGCGAGTGTCATCATTTCAAGGTTATTCCTTTGCAACAACTGAGGTATCTATTCAGAAATCACAAGCTGATAAGCACGTGACTTCCCACCGGACGAGCAACCAGCATATTCTACTCCTGGTATATTCATTTATACGTTATCAAAATGTCGAAACCAACAATCCTCATCACTGGCTGCACGAAAGGCAGCATCGGCTACTCATTAGCCAAACAATTCGCGGCACAAGACTACCACGTTTTCGCCACGACCCGCAACATCGCCAGCATGGACGATCTCTCCACGATACCAAATATCACTCTCCTGCCTCTCGACATCACATCGCGCGACTCCGTTCTCTCAGTCCACTCCATCATTGCCCAACAGACAGGAGGTAGACTCGACATACTTTACCACAACGCCGGCTACCGCTCTCTCGGCATGGCCATCGAATCCTCAGTCGATGAAGCGTACAAGATGTTCAACACCAACCTCTTCGGGATCATACTCCTGAATAGCGTGTTTTCAGACATGGTAATCAAAACAAAAGGCAAGATTGTGATCACGGGGAGTGTTTCAGGGTATACGCCACACCCTTCGCAAGCGGTGTATAATTCGAGTAAAGCGGCCGTGGAGCTGTATGCCAAGACGTTGAGGATGGAGATGAAGCCTTTTGGGGTGAAGGTTTTATTTGTCATCACTGCAGGTGTGAAAACTGGAATGTCGAGTGCACGGCTGACGCTTTCCGAGAGTAGGTTTCCTGGAAAAGTCTAGAATGCTGAAAGATGAAATTGCTGACATGGGAAATAGATTCTAATTATAGATATCTTGAAGGCAAGATCAATAAGGCTTGGGAGGAGCTGGAAGGTGACGCCATGAGCCCGAGTGTTTATGCTAGACAAGTTGTTGCGAAGGTTGTGAAAACGAGCCCGCCGGAAGAGATATGGTGTGGGTCTGGTGCAACCACGGTTTGGATTATAGAGACGCTTGGGATACGTTGGGCGTATAACATCTTCTTTTCGAGGTTGTTTGGGTTGAACGCGATGGCGCCATCTTTCGAAAAAGAAAAAAAAAGAAAGTGAAGGGGTCTTAAAGGAGTCACTCAGGAGATAGCTCGCTTAGATCAACCACAGCACTTCCAACTTCTGCGAAGAGCACTTATTTGATATTCCAAGGAACGAGAGGAAAGGAAGAAGAGACTCTTGCTTCTATGTGGTTTGTTCAAAAGGGGAAATAGTGCGAATTAATTCTGATTCTAGGATGACTCGTTCACCTCCTCATGTGACCTATCTCCACTTTAATTCCCCCTTTCTTCCTCGCTTAAGGCAAATCTCAGACAGCCCTCCTTAGAAAGGCCAGATCAAGTAAGGGCAGAGATTTCCAATCCTTTTATACCTCCACCCACACCTTGCATCCGTCAATCATAATTCCTCCTTTCCTCGCACTCTAATCCTTTCAATCTCCTCATCTCCCAAATCTCAGCGGGCAGATGCAGAGTTGCGTAAACCTCCAAGAACGAGGTTATTAAGCCTCATGATGCATCCGCTACCGAGACTAAATAAGGTTTCTCTGGCATATCTTCTTACGCGGCATCGAAGATTGCAAATGCGAAATTGGTGGAGCAAGCTGGGGGTGAGATTGAGGGACTGCATATTGCGAACGTGCAGCCGAGAGTTATTGAGGCGGATTTGAACTCTCTGGGTTACGGGTTGGAAGCAGTTGACACTTCAAGGAGCCCACTCTCAGTAAACCTGCTGGAAAACCTAGTTTCTTTCAAGACCGAAGTCACAGCCATTCGGGTGATCTTTCGTTAGTGTAGGGAGGCGTTCATTAGAAGTCACATTAAAGTAATGGAAGTTGTTTCCAATCCTCTCCCATTCAGACATTGTTCTATCAATGCTTTTGAACAATCAATCATGATCCCCCCCCCATCCTACATCATATCCATCAATCGTGATTCTAAACCCAATCATCCGCCATTCCCTTCCTTCCCGTAATCCTTCACGTCCCGGCAAGCGCGTGCTGCCTTCTCCTGTCCTGGTGTGACAAAGTCTGGGGTTCGGGGTCAGTCGTGATTTAGAGGGGATGATAGATTTCTTACGTTCTTGTTTCTTCACTTCCGCCAACAGCCGATATCCTCCTTCAATTCCTTGCCCGTAGCCCTCCACCTGTCCTGATAGACAGTCTGTTCATGTCGTTTTGTTGTGCAAGTTGGTGATGTTGCATGGCCGTTTGAAGCATTGAGGATAATTGGAATGTGGTGATTGTGCGATTCATTGAAGTGGTGAAGTTGATAAATTCGTTTGGATTGAGTTCCTCGATATCTTCCCGCCCAGAGTTGTCGATTGAAATTGAGGTGGGGGTGTAGCGATGTTGTTGATCGAGATTGCCGTTCATGATGTGATGTATTTGTGGGATACCGAAGTTGTCTTATGGTCCAGAATTGCTCCGAGTTTCCAAGATGGTGGATGAGTAAAGCCGTCGGCGTGTTCTAGATTTGATTGAGAAAGGTCGTGAGCGATTGGTGGTGTAGTACTGTTGCGAGCATCCGTAAGTCGAGCTCCAGAAAATGTTGGTGATGTTGGTGATGTTTTTTCCAATGTGCGAAGACTGAGTGAGATCCGTGGGAAGTGTGGTGTTTGAAGTGTTGCGTCCAGTGTTGCCTGTGGAGGAGTTTTCATCCGTGATTGTTTGTTGTCGAGCTATTGCCGTTTCTTTCGGTTGGGTTTCTTGGAGGGGGAGTTTTTTTTTTCGTAGATGGCGTTGAGTTGCACTCGTGGTCATCATGGCTGTTTTTGGGTGTGTTCGACTTAGGGTTGGTTTTTTTAATTGTTTATTGTCGAATATTTGCCGCGCGATTTTGTTGGGTTGATATGGTAGTCGAGGTGCATTCTTGTGCAACCAGTGAGTTGAGGTTGTTTTCGACTTGTGTTTTTTGGTGGGATGTTTTCATCCGAGTGTTTGTTTGTTGTCAAAGCCTTGCCAGAGCGGGGCTTTTTTTTGTGTTTCTTTTTGTTTCTTCTCTGGGTGGGTTTGGTAGTTGGCTTGCAGTGCTGAACTCGTTGTGACGGCGGCTTGCTGTGGTTTTTTCGACTTGGCTTTTTTTGGGTGATGATTCTGTCGATGCTTTGCCGTTGGTTCGTCTTTTTATGTAAACTTGTTGAGTAGTACTCATGGTGACGACGGCTGGCTGGTTATTTTCGACTTGGCTTTTTTGAGTAGATGGTGTGGATAATTCCTCCGAGAGTGATGTTTTCAGGCGAGGACCTGGAGCAGCTGTGGATACACTTCGGTCATCTCAGGGACTGCTTCGAGGACTTGTTCTTTCGTGAGATACTGGAGTAGGGCATCGATGGTTTTCTGGAGCTCGACTGGGAGTGCTGCTGGGAGAGGTGCTGGAACAGGTGCTGGAACAGGTGCAGGAGCTGGTATTAGGAGACATGATGAAAGAGCTGCTGAGCAACTTTCTCCTGCAGTGAGTTTGGCGGTTTTGATCCACTTTCGAGGGACGATAGGCTTGAAGTTGGCGACCAAAGCTTTGTAACTCTCCTTGGTAAGGCGGTTTTGAAGTGGATTGCCGAAATTGATGAGCTGCGAGACCGGAATGGCGTAGACGTGAGAGTCGTAGACGTGTGATTTTTTGTACATGGTGCTCTCAGGTTCGAGGTAAAGAACGGTTGCTCCGTTTGGGGCGGTGGTTGGTGATTCCCCTTTTCCTTTTGGGATATGGGTAATGGTGAAGTTGCTGGCCCTTTCTTCTGGGTTCGGTTGTGGGTTTGCTGAGATCTGCCGAAGATTAGATTTTGCGCCGTAGTTGAGTTGGGACGGGGTTGACATACAGTGCAGCACAACGCTGTGAGTTCTCCTCCATTGGAACGGTTATCCCGAATGTCGAGAACCACGGCAGGATGGTTGTATCCTTTCGCGTCGAGCTGGGGGCGCTGGCAGTCAGGAAGTACGCAAGAACAATTCTTTTGACATGCGAATTTTTGTTGAAGGAAGACGATGACGCCGATGGCTAGGTGCTTTTCCGAGATTGGATACCTGGGGCGGGGGTTTGAAAAATTTCGTCGAGGCGTTGTGGGTTGCTGATTTTTGGTTTGTTTGATAAGTTGGTTGATGGTGGCGCTTTCGTCGATGGCGGTGATGGGTTGAGAGAAGTACCCGGGAGATTCCATGGTGAAGTGTATTTGATGTCGTGCAGAAAGAGGGAGGGAAATGATGATAATGATGGGTATTGATAGTCGCTGTAGGAAATACACTGAGGAATTTGAAGTGGTGAAAGTCGCGAAAGGTCGTAATGCTTGCGCAAATGTCGGGACTGGTCACTGAGTATGATGGAAAAAAGGTGAAAATCTCTTCGCGGGAGAGGGCAGGGGGGCGTTCTTATAAACCCCATTTTCCGACTCACAAGTTGTGCCGTGGATGGGAGATATGCTAAATCTGTTCTGCTGACCAGCTGGTGGAATGTTTGGAAGGCTTGCCATCGTGAGATCTGGTCGGTGGATGAAGCCTTGCGAAGCTTGCAGGGATGTAGAAGCCCCATCATTGTGAGATGTGGTTGCCTTCAAGCCGCACTAGGGTATTATCCTATTACGGTAACTCGAGAAATGACCTAGCCTCTGGGCAGCAAAGCCGAAGAAGGTAAACCGATTGGATGGTCTTGTGGTCAATGCTTCAATGACATCAAAATAGAGTTTCAGTAGACCCGAACTAGAAATCTATGGCTCACTCCGCGTTGGGCGACGCCCCCAGCGAATGTACGGACGTGAGCACATTGCTATAAAGGGAGATTGTCGATAGCGAAGACATCTGCCATAAGCCGAAGATCAACAACAAGTATTTTTTGGGGGAATATCTCAAGATCAACAGGAGAATTTAAACCTGGGAAATATCCACACATTTTTGAGGGACGAGCCGCTGCACTTGCCGCGAAATTCTCCGAACCACGTGCGCCGGGAGCTGGCAGAGAACTTCGCACTAGCTCTTCATGTGGAGTTCTAGCTTCGAGAAGCAGGTTGGTTCGCGAACAACACTTGAGCTAGCTCCCGCTGTCCCAAGTTTTCTGCTATTGATGGCTCGAGAAAGTCAGGCCACGAGGTAAACGAAACGTTGCAAGCTAAAGTAGCCGACCAGATGGCCATGGTCGAGAGGTCGAATATATGTCGAATATGTTTGCCCCTCTGTTTCCTGCACCTAAACCAGCCCCAGGCCCAACGTCATAGCCTCGAGGGCGAAGCTTCCACTTTCTTCAAACCCTCCGACCCAACCTTCTTTCACCCTGGTCCCAATCTTCACGCCACCGGTCCTCTCGCCCTACGTCTCAACCCACGGCTCACAGCTAGCGGTTGAAATAAAGTTCCACTAAATCTCCGTCTCGGCCCGTCTGTAAGCTAGCAGCTGTCAAACCCAATTCCTGGAACCCGCCTCACTTTCTAGACTCTCGAATCTTCAGCAGCTAGGCAAAAACCCCGAAATATCCCGCTCTACAACTCATCCAGTCGCGGGGGTATGAAAAACGATTGTATGTGCCAAGTTTGAACTTTTGTGTTCCCGTGATGTTGTCTGGTTGCCGTAGGGCTTATGGGGGAAGGCATCCTTATTCTACTAGAAGGAAATGAGCTCGAAATGAAACCATTCATAATCCACCTTCCCTCAATACTGACAGGGCACCTTTCTTCCGCTTCTTTCAAGAAACCAAGACTTCCAAGCATCTCATTTCCTTTCACGGCCCCCTTTCACTCATTCACGATGAGTCGTGAACCAGCAACAGTAATCATTGGTCGCAACTCACGGTTTAATGCCACTTTGAACTATCACTGTGGATGCTCCTGTCCTACTTGCGAGAGGTCAAACGAGACTCCTAGTAAGAATTGACAGCAGCGCTAAAGTTGACAACAATAAGCAAGGCCACACATATTCCAGACCTACGGGATTGTCCAACCACGGCTCTACCTGTATGGGTTTCAAGTACGCCTTCAAAGGCGATGATGAGAATTGACAGCAGCGCCGAAGTTGACATCAAAAGCAAGAGCGAACAAAATCAAGACACTGCTAAATCCAAGCACAGCCCTTTTCCTTCAATAATCTAAAGCAATCGATCGATTCTATAGAGAATGGACATTGAGCAAGGACTTCTTTCCCTAGTTGTTGTGCGGCGGGATTTTCGTCGAGCAGTTCTGTAACTTCTGTGTCCTGCCCGTCTCTGATGACGATAGGAGTCAGGTTATATACCCGAGTGCCCATGGTGATTTGAATGAATGTCTATGAACAAACATTTCTTTTCTGGGCAGGCACAAGAGCGAACATGGAATCATGATTTTTGGTCTGTTCACCCGACGCTTGCCTAAGGGCTGGAGAGAGAAAGGTATCATTATTCTGCTAGAAGAAAGGAGATGCTACATTCAGCTCAGCTCGAGTACATGCGTGAAGAAAAGGAAACCATTCATTCCATTCATAAAGCAGCAATGCAAAATGCACCCAAGTGACGCAACTATGTAAGACACCCCCCTCCCCCGCATATCATCCAAGCCAGCTAAGCTTGCGCTCATTATTCCTACATCGTTCGTGGAAAGTCCATACAAAAAAGACAACCCAATCAATCACCAAGCATATCATCATCCTCGTCCTCTCCACCACCAGCAGGGCCCTCACCGGCACCCTCATCGCCTTCTGGTTCCTCATCTAGCAGTTCTCTTCTCCTTAGATCCTCAGCCGTCCCCTCCTCCGGCTCCACCTCCGCAAACGGATCATCCTCATCCTCATCCTCCTCCACCAACTCCCTGCTCTTCATTGCCTTCTTCCTCGCATCCTCCACCTGCTGCGCCTTACTCTTGTGGCTTTTTTTCGCCTTCAGCTTCGGATCATCGAGATACGCGATCACCTCCTTGAAATTGTGGCCTAGCCGAGAGCGATTTCGTTGCAGACGGTGGCGGAGTTTCCCTTTTAGTTCGCCGGATATGTCGATGACTTGGGCCAGGATCGCAAGGATGAGTTTGCCGGCCAGCTCGCAGAGCTGTTGCTCGGCTCGTAAGGTCTCGGCCTGTTTCTCGTTGGCTGTAATCTCTTCGTCTTCATCGTCTTCCGGCTCGGAGTCCAGGTCTTGGGGTGCTTCATCGTCGCTTGGTTCGGCAAGGGTCTTCTTGGATTTCTTGGAGAATTGCTTTTCTAATGCGTCGAAGATAGAAGTGAGTTCTGCCTGGACTTCCGGTCCGATTTCTTGGACGAGTGATTGTAAGTGCGGGTTCCCATTCGCCTCCGCATTGGCAGTAGCACCGTTCTTTGCTTTCGACTTCTTCGAGGGTCGGAGGGTGGAGAAGAGAGTGTAGAGATCGAGAAGAACGCCGGCTCCAATGAGCCGAACAGGGTCAAGGGTAGATCGCGAAGAAAAAGCGGCTATGAGGTTTGTTGTGAAGATGTCCTGTAATTCCTTCAAGTGGTCGATGTCAAGATCTGGAATCTCGTCGCCAACAGCTACTGCATCGGTCAAGGACTTTACTTTCCACATGAAGTAGAACATCGACGAGCGAATGGCAGAGAGAACGACTTCATCCTCAAGAGCGTCAAGCGTCTCATCATTGGAGTCCTCGAATACCCCACGAGCGATAACATCCAGAAGGATACTGATAGGCAGAGGATCGCCTTTGCCAGTATCCGCTTCCAAACTGTCAACTGGGCTGGATATGCTGGCTAGTTGTTCGAGTCGAGCGAGGTTGTGTGATAGCTCGGTGAGAATCTTGTTCCGCAACGCCCCTCGGACCGAGATCTCTCCTGCTTTGTTGATCTTCCGAAGGGCGCTGGTGGTGTCATCCCAAAGTGATTGCATCCTGCTCTCCGTGACTTCTTCAAGTTCCTCGTAACCGCGAGCGTGTAGCAGTGCAGCGCCAGCCTCATTCAGGACACCCTTGTCGGCATGGCCGTTAAACTGGGCGCTGATTTCGTCCAGCAACTTTGCATACACGGTCGAGTCTTGTCGCAGTTCTTCGAAGATGCTAAGATTTAAGACATGCTCTAATCTAAGTACCACCGTTGCTGTCTTTGGATCCGCACCGTATTTCTTCAGCAAGCTCGGAATGAGGCCAGCCAAACGTCGTGCGGCATTCTCCTTCGCCTCTTGGATTTCCGCCTTGGTCTTCTTGCTGCTCTCTGAATGATGCGCATGCGTGAGTGCAACCTTTACCACAGCATTGAGTATCTCCAGAAGAATAAGTTCTTCGTTCTCCGTGGGCTTTACTGTGTCTTTCAGGGCTCGTTCGGTCTCGTTGCCAGTGAGTGGTGCAGAATGGTCGTATAGAAGGTAACCTGCCAGGGTTTCCCAATCCTTGAGATCTGGCACCTTGTCATAAAGCGCCTGGGCAGCATGTGTGAATCTGGATTCCGTGCCCGCAACATTCAGGTAGTCTGCTGCTTCAATTTGACTTGGCATTTCTTCCTGATCTTCATTGTCGTAGCTCAACAGACTTTCTGCGAGCGACTTATACCGAATCCAAGCAGCGCGGGGTGTGCTGAAATCTTCCTCGTCCTCTACGGTGAGGATGTCTTCAAGAACCTCTTCACCACCTAATTCCTCAATTCGATTGTCATACAAATCCTTAATGTTCTCTGCGAAGAAACCCACCAAGGCTTTGCGAACTCTCGGCTCTGAATCGAAGATGAGCTTGCCAATGACGTCAATATCATCGGGCTCTAACATTCCCGCTTGTCGAATATAATCCATCAGCTCCACCGCAGCTGCCCTGACACCTGGTTCGGAATCTCGGGTCGCCATCTCCACGAGGCGTGGCCTAAATCGCTCGATAAAGTGTCGCATTTGACCGTGGTTACTCGGGTTCTTCATGATTTTCGATAATTGCTTGACAACCTCTTGTCGCATACCGGCATGAGTATCTGAAAGCATCCATCCCATATATCGCAGATATTGGCCTTCGAAGAAGACGCTTGGTAATGTGAGAATCCAATATCCAAGTGCTTCCACGCACTCAATTCGGATCTTGGGATCGATATCGCGATATCTGTGGACGTAGACTGTATCGAAGAAATCCTTGAGTTGTGCCTCAATGTAATCCTTGCGCTTCTCATTTGTGTCAACCTTCTGCTGGAAATCCGCAAGTCTGGCTTTGTTCGGTCGCTTGTTCTTCTTCTCGCCCTCGAGCTGGCGTTGAACTTTCGCAGAGGCATCTATCTCAGCACTTGCGATTTTGCTCATGGTACTAGTCATGACCAATGCCACCAGAGTCGCGGTATGCCGGAAGGGCCGCGAAGAGGAATCCGTCATTGAGGAGAGCCAGACGTGGATGTTCTCCATCAACGGTTCTTCAGTGTATAAAACCCCTTTAGTGTGCATGGCTCTAATCAGACCATCGATGAAGTCTATCAGAGCTGTCCGGAACGCGTGGCCGCTCTTCGTTTTCGAGATGAGAGGATAATCAGTGACTTGTTGCTGGGAAAATATTAGTGGGTTTCTTGCATTGGCCGTATGCGCTTTACTCACAGCCTGAAGCTCATCTTGCATGTCCGATATTCTGCTCTCCGCATTGTCTGGATCATTGATATCGTCTACCGTGACATGCGCACTGCAACCCGCACTCTTGAAGATGAAATTCATAAATTCGGTCAGGGCCTCCTGGCCGTTGTCCTCGTATCTCACCAGCCATCGGCCCGCCACGTCTTCAGCTAATTCGCCGCTCGTGTACACATCAGCTTGAGCAAAAATTAGCAGATATTCCTAATCTCGGGAGAACAAACGCGCTTACCATAGAGTCCTTCCGCACTCTTGTCTGCTATTGCCACCTTCTTGGCCTTTTTGGGCCGGGCAGGAAGCTTGACCGCGGGTGCCTCTCCGTGTGTCGCAGCGCCATTGACCTTTGGTTTCTTTGCCGCCGGCTTCTTCGTAGTCTTTGCCTTCCGCCGAATCTCTCTCACTTCCTCCTCCGCAGCGCTCTCCACGGTCGCATCGCTCTCCTCTTCCTCTTCATCTACATCCGACGCGTCATTCTCAGCATCCTCTCCTCCCCTCTTCCGCTTTGCGCTCGCAGATCCCTGTTGTGAGGATGGCGCATCGGGGACGAACTTTTCGGGGACCTTCACGGCGCGTCCAGATTTCCGCCTACTGCCAGTCGCGACTGGAGTACTCGTCACGTCGTTGTTGGAAATGTCCATGAGCGGCGTTCTTCGAGTAGTCATTGATGCATTTGTTGCGAGTGGGGATTTGATGCTGGATAGGGAGGTAGGTCTTGCGGGCGCGTAAGTAATTATTGTTGGTGTTGATGGCGCGCGAATTGGAGGAAGTCGCGATGGGTTCGAGCGAACCAAATAGGCTTAGCGCCACCTTATCGGCCAACCTAGGGACTTCCTTCGCTTCGGCTTTGTGACACTTCACTTCTCTGCTCTTCTCCCCTTCAACATAATCAATTCAGAGTGAAGCCACGCTCGCCTTGAACAGCCTCCCGACAACGGACCTTTTTCATTGCACATCTATTCCGTGAACTGTTTATTCTATATCTATGTATATTTACTGAGACCAGCAGCCAATTCTCCCGCAATGCGTATGTCCTTCCTGCCATCATGACATCTCCATTCCCAGTTTCCTCCTCTGCTCCTGGAGAGGGCCGAATTGTGGTGCAACTACTTCCTCACGGCATATCAGCGCTCTCAGCAATCACATTTCAGTACCCATTGAAGCTCATATCTCCATCACCAGCTGCCGGTCAGAAGAGCATCCTGGTATTCCTGCTCACTTACGGAGGTGGACTTGTTGGCGGCGATCAGGTCCATCTCACCATTGACGTTAAACCAGAAGCAAAGCTCAGCATTGTTACTCAAGGCCATACCAAGATCTTCAAGTCTCCATCCAGAGATGTCATTACCCGGCAAAGACTCCACGTGACTCTCCAGGATAATGCTGCATTATGCCTCCTCCCTGATCCAGTCCAGCCCTTTAAAGGAAGTGTATATGAACAGTCACAGAAGTTTACACTTGCAGACACTGCGTCTCTTTGTCTCCTAGACTGGGTATCTGCAGGCCGCAGAGCAAGAGGGGAAGACTGGGACCTTCTTGCCTGGCGTGGGCGGAACGAGGTGTGGGCAGCTGCAGAATCTGGTGGAAAGCCCAGGCTCCTTCTGCGAGACAATGTGATATTGGAAGGGGATGCTGCAGATTCCAAGGAGAAGGCATTGAGAAACAAGATGCAGCCGACGGGAATATTTGGCACGCTGGTACTGAAGGGTCCGCTGGTGGAAGGCTTGGCAGCATTCATCCTGGCAGAATTCGCTGCGCTTCCCAGAATTGGAGCTCGTGACTTCAGATCTCAAGATAAGATGGACAAAGACAATGGGCTTATGCTATCACCAGAAGAAAATTGGAGGCAGGCACGTCTCAAGCAGGAGGAAGCAGACTCTGTATTGTGGTCTGCCGCTAGAGTACGTGGCTGTACTGTGGTGAAATTTGGGGCTCGCACCGTTGAGGGCGGGCGTCTATGGATCGGAAATCTACTCAAACAGGATGGCTCCATTTCTCGACTCTTTGGAGATGATTCAACCATGTGTGTTCGCTGAAGGGTCCCAAATTGTCACACCAAGGTCGCTGTCCATGTGCACCATCAAGCCGCTTGGTGGACGCGCCAGCTGCTGCCAAATGCTGACACCCTGGCACATACAATCCAACTTATGTCCCATCTCCATCTCTCTGGCCATCCTTGACGTCTCCAACCGAATGAACTCCTGCCTCTCCTGCAGCCAGCACAGCCAAACCTTCAACTCAAGCATCAATGCCTCCTTCCTCGGTGACTCGACGTCTGACTCATCGACATCCTGCATCCATTTCTTGTAGAGCTGCGTCATCCGAAGTACTGTTCTCAGTTTCCAGTCGCTCTCCATCATGTCAACCACACATTGTGTACAGTATTTGACGCTCCACGGTCCCTTTGCCCAAAACCAATCCGGGCAAATTTGGCAGGCTTTGGACGGTTGTTCTGACAGTTGCAGAGAATCTGGCACCTTTTGGTATGGCACGATGTAGTTCTTGACCTGGTCAACGCTCATGAGAACAATGGCATTGAACGGCTGGGAGACTATTTCCTAGTTAGCAACCGGCCTGTGACCAAGGGCGGGAAAACTCGCTGTATGTGACCATCTCTTCAAAGGTGAAATCAAAGGGATTTGGGGGGTTCTTTGGAGGGCCTGCTTGTGCAACGGGTGCTGGGCCTTGACGCAGCTGTGGAACTAGCGGAGGAGGCATGTTTGACTTGAGCATTTGATTCGGCTGGGACTGCATACCATATTGTTGCGGAAGACCGTGCTGCTGCGGGAGACCATACTGTTGCGGGAGACCATACTGTTGCGGGAGACCGTACTGTTGCAAAAGACCATACTGTTGTTGAGAGCGGCCATGTTGGTGCGGAATCGGAGGAGGCATGTTAGGTTGGACCATTTGATTGGGCTGGAACGAACTATATTGCCGTTGCTGGACCCGAGGGGGCTGCATTATGTTCGATATGGTCATTGGATTTTGGTGGGCCAGACCATGTTGCTGTTGTGAAACGGGAGGAGCCATGTTCGACATCACCCTTGGATTCTGTTTGATTTGTTGCTGTTGCCGAGCTGGGAAAGGAGGCATGTTCGATTTAAGAACCTGATTCGCATGGATGACCGGAAGATTCTGTTGGTGGAGGCTATTGTTCTGGAAGCCTTTGTTCTGGAAACCTTGAGAACCATGGAGTTGCTGGGGCGTCATAGTCGCCATGGTCGGTCTCATTCCACTGACTTGGTATCCTCCTGGGCTGTACTGACCTTGTTGTGGTAGGATGGTAGTTGTCTTCGGTCGGATAGTTCGGTGCAGTTGTCCTTGCTGTGGTTGTGGTTGATACAAAGGCGGTCGGAAGGGGCTTGCTGCTGGAGTAGGGAGGTTCTTGGCTTGACCGTAGCTTGGGGGCTGAACCATTGAAGCAGCAACACTGGCTCTGATGGCATTATGAAGTTGAGCGGCTTGCTGGGGCCATTTGCTAACATGTTTTTCTCGTTGTTGATGCACAGCTGTACCACGCGTGTCTTGGGGTTGTTGTCCCAATTGTCGAGGTACTGCGGGATTGCTGGCAGCTTCTGAATGTTCCCGTGGCTGAGATGCAATGGGCTCTTGTTTCATGCGCTCAGCCATGATGCTCAATTTTTTGGTGTTGAAGAGATGGAAGGTCAAAGGATGTAAGAGATCGAACTTTCTTATCGCATTATCGATATCGTTGTCACAACCCCGATGTGAATATGATCGACGGCTCCGGCTCAGTCTGGACATCACTCCTTTCCCCACCCCTTCATTTCTTGACACTCTTTGTCTTTGTCTGCTACAGGAAGAGCTGGGAATCATAGCTATGCTAGAAATGTTAGGAAGAAGGGATGTATAATAGACTCTTGCGATTTCGTCTAAAAACGCATTGCTGCATATTCATTGTTTTGTTACTCCTGCCCTCGGGCTGCGACTGAAAGTCCTGGGATCTACCCTATTGGTCACTACACAATTATAATCTCCATTCGGCTCATTTCCATCTTCCTTGTTTTGTCGTTAGATGACTAGAAGACCAGGAGTTGTCATCTGGGTATCAGGTGAAATTGCAAAGTTGAGCCTTTTCCTCCGCAACCTATTCTTCCATCCTTTGTTTCCGTCCTTGCAAACGATTACCCCGTTCCCTCCACTTGTATCTCTCTCTAGTTTTAACTTTGGATAATTAAGAAAAAAAGATGTTGTCATTCGTCATTGCAAAGTTGAGACAGTCGAGATTCCTGCGATGTGCAACGAAAGTGTTGACGAGGATATCAAATTCACTTGAAGGCAACCTGAATTCAGGGACAAAATATATTCACTATATCCGTGCAAAGCCACAGCTCATTGTACTACGCTTGTCTCAGATTTCGGCCGCATATTACCACTAATACCTTTACTCGGGACCTAGTAGAAGTTGTTGGTTCAAGTGCGGGTTGTACCGACTTTCCCACAGCCTTCCTACATTGCATTGTGTCTTTTCTCAAAAATATGAAATTCCCTGTGCCATTTCAGGGCATTCCTGTACATTCACCAAGAAGCCGGTAATGATGCTACCTACATGTCCCCGATCACCTTTGTGAAGCAGACGTATTTCTCAAGCGGTGCCGAGCCCTACCTTCGATCCCACACCTTTCGAAACCACAACTCCGAATCGCACTAAATCTACTCATCCAATATTGCCCATCAAGGCCTCTTCTTCTTTCCTCCTCGCAACGAAAAGAATCGCCCACAATGACTATCCACGACCCGCCGCCCTCGACACCCACAGCCCACGGACTCACCCGCGACCAAATCCTCGCCCTGCACACGCACGGCAGCAAGCAGACGTGCCACGCACTCCTCAATACCTCCCAACCGCCGCTCACGAACCCCCTCGTCACATGCCTGATATGCATCCATCCGTACCACTCTGCGAACGTGGACGGGAATGTTGAGGTCCCAGTTATGACGGCTTGTGGACATGTTTTTGGGGATGGGTGTTTGGGGGTGTGGATGGAGGAGAGTGAGAAGGGGGGAGGTGGGGGGAATAATGGGGGAACTTGCCCGATGTGTAGATTTGTGCTGCGGTATAGAGAGTGCGGCCACATTATTCGCGCGGTGCCTGCTTTTGGTAAGCGTTCTTCTCTTCATCCTCTGCTCTCTAGCTCCCTCGCCTCCTCTTACCAACTATGAAACCTTCTTGCTAATCAATTTGATGGCAGATCCACTGCCACCGCCCAAAATCATCACGCAAGAACAAATACCGCTGCGTTGCGGGAAGTGCGAACTGAAAAGCTCCATGAAGCAGGAGAGAATGAGGTACGGGGACCTCCTTGAAAAGAAAGCGCATTTAGACGAGCACTTAGAGGATCTCCGCGAGGAAGGCAAGACGGTTGAGGAGGATGGGAGTGCCAGGTTGCTGACGGTGCAGCAGATGGAAGGGAGTCTGCCGGAGATTTGGGAGACTTATAGGGAGACTGAGGAGATGATTCTGGCTGCCGAGGTGGAGATCGAGGAGCTGAAGAACGCGATGGAGAGGGATAGTAGGAGCTGGGAAGAGGTGATACGGAAGAGGGGTGGGTGGCATTTGTGAGAGATCCTGGGGAATACCCGAGGGCGGAGAGCTTTGGTGGGAAGAGAATTGAGGACGTGCCTTTGCGGTCTCTTGGGTGTCATCTGCATCTGCAGGTACTGAAGTTTAGTGTGGGATTTATGGTTGGCATCTGCAAGTGCAGATACATTTCCTTTCGATGGCAAACCTTGGAAGCACATTTGACACCTGCAGTCGAAGAACTTTGAAGGGGTACTTTTTGGCGGAGCTTGCTCCGGCTCCTCGGACATCTGGAGGGTCTTTGGGAGACAAACTATGGATTCCAGGAATGGACTATGCAGCTTGGGAGCTTTGTCAACATTACAAGGTGGAAGCAGCATGCTGGGCGTCTATCCCTCCAGGCCAAGGCATGCACGATATCGTCAGAACGACTGCCAAGTTGGGAGGTGGTCGGAAAATCGGCATCAGACATGGGGATTGCTTCGCATCGCATAGGATGGCGGGAGCCTTGGAGGCTTGTTGACAGGTATTGGCAGTATTGGCATGGATATAGGGGATTTCAAACAGTCCATGCGATTTCTTGGCTTGCGAGTTTCTTCATCCAGACTCATATCACGTGGTTGCGCCGTCAAGGCTAAGGCAGCAACTGTTGGTGCCTGACTCTTGAAACGTCTCCGAAAACTTCTACCCTCCATCTTCTTCTCCACCCATCACTCAGCCACCTTCCACGATCCTGCCATTGCCCATTTCCAGTCTGACCGCAGTCGAGTGTGTCAATAGGATCTCCATATCCACGCCGGATCGCCTGATCGACATCGCCTACCAACCAACGATTCAGCGCCGGCGGAGGTGCAAAACATTCGCGAGCCCTAAACGGCCTTTTCTTGCGATAGTTGCAACCGCGAAACATCCACCATGGAGAACCATGACGATTAAATAGGAGGCGCAATGGCAATCGACACGGGGGTCCCTCGTATCAGATTCCCACTGCATGATCTGCCGATTTGTCTGGGGCGAACAGCCAGTCAATCCTCTTGTGTGTGCTCAGCCGCGCGAAACATCGAGGTCATGGGCAGGCGCCCAGCTGCCAGCGGGCCTGGCGGCAGGCCTACCCGCAAAAACATTGGCGCCTAGGGCGCCGCAATGCTTATTTGAGTGCGCCATGTACAATCCCGACACCTATCATCATATCATTGTTTACATTTGTTTCTTTCTGCCGTACCCGTTGAAGTTTCAACTCGGGATTTTCCTCCTTTCTCGCCTAGCCGATCTCCCTCTCCCCTTTCCAAGGGAACCCAAACCGAACTTTCCCCGCGCCACAAGAACTCTCCAGTGCTCGCCTCGGGATCTCAAACTGTTTCTGTTCGCAGTCTAACTGGCAAGTTGTCTCGACTTGGGGCCCTTGGCAGCCGCCTTGTGTCGCTTGGCATGCTTGGAAACATCGCACGGACAAAAAGCGTGATCTGTTTGACACTAGGCCCAGCTAAGCACACTCGTCGAGTTGCGGAAGCTCTCGACCCACGGACCTAATCAGTTTCAATCTCTGGTATCTCGATATGATTCGGTTGATCAGCAGCAAGCATTTCCTGGATCCTTGCTCGATCAGATATTTCTCCGCATTCTGTTTCGATAACCACACTTCGGTACAACCTTCTTAGCCCCCGAGGGGTTACTCACCACGACGAGTAATAGTCCTAGGATGTCGTATTGTAGCTTGGAAACGGTTTTCTGACTGATGGCCGACGCGTTTGAGCTTCTGAATCGCTCACCGCGCTGTGGTATGGGACCCTTTCCGGTCCGATTTCTGTCTCGAGCCTGGCCTTCACCTCTCTTTGATCAGATGCATGATCAAGGCCCTGGAGCTGAGACTCCATGGTCACCTTGGCATGTTTATGGTTTCCTTTTGGCGGCTTTCTCTATGGTCAACTACCGGAGCAAGGGTCGCATCATCGTGAACTCTGTGTGCAGGAAAAAGTATTAAAGCTGCCCAGAGTCCCTCCCCTAACCCAGCATCAGCGATCAACAGTTCTTCAGTTTACTTCACTTTCAGTCAATCTTCTTTCTTCTACAGCCTCTTACGATTGATTCGTATCTGCTTACAATCATTATAATCTTATTTTCAAATAGCTCCTTTTAGACTCACAATCTGCGAATATGTTCTCCAAGCTCTTCGTCCTTGCTCTTGCAGCATCCCCTCTCGTTGCCGCCCATGGCAAGATCGCAGTCATAGTAAGCCCCCATCCCATCCTCACTTCATTAATTCATACTAACCAACCCCATAGACTGGTGATGCCGGTGGAAACACCACTGGCCTCGGTATCCAAGGTGCCGTCATCCCAGGTGCCGGAACCAACAAGCAAACCGAAGTCGACACTACCGTCTTCAACTCCAAGGCCGCCGCAACTGACGGACTCGGAAAGACCAAAGCCGGCCCCAACACTATGGCCGACATGACCCAAGTTATGGCTCTCTCCGGCAGCACCCTCCCTCAAGTCTCCCCAGGTGGCTCCATCTCCGGTACCGTCCACATCGTCACCACCGATGGAGCTGGCCCATACACTGCCATCGTCGACCCGACCGGAACCGGTACCTTCTCCACCGGCACCCAGCTGAGTGTCACTCAACAAGTCCCAGGTACCAGGGGTAACATTGCTGCCCCCAAGCAACGCCGCTTCGTGACCCGCATGCTCGTCAACATAGGCATCGTCAAGCGCGCCTCCAACGTCAACGAGGACTACCCCTTCGCGGCCACCATACCCGCCGGCACCACCTGCACAGGCACCGCCGGCGGACAATCAGGTGTCTGCCTCGTCAAGATCGTCAACCCATCCGGCGCCGGACCATTCGGTGGCGTCGTCGCTATCCAGATGGCTGGTTCGGGTGCTGCTGCTGCTCCGGCCGCGGCCCGTGACAACAAGCCAGTTGGCGCTAAGTTCCGTGCTTAGATATTTTCATTCGAGATCGAGTGTGACTGCTCCGCAAGGAAGTTGCGAGATGGTTGAACGAAGGACAATTAGGAATTGGGTATGCGGGAGGTGGAAATGGTGGGAAGTGTTTCTTGTTCATTGGTCGTAGTTCGGGAAATATTTGTATATGATAGGAAATGAATTTGAGACATAACATTCTTTTACCTTCTTGGTGCTTTCTGCAGTGAGTCTTCCTCGAACATGCCTTTTCTGGATGAATGGCAGCTTGTGTTGAAGTCGAACTCCGATCGAAAGCCCAGCAAGTGCCAAATTGCTCCTTCGTCTAGTGATGAAAGTGAAAGCGAGAGGAAAGAGCCATCTATATAAACATGGGCAAGTATGTACTTGAGAGGTATCCAGGGTGCTAATGAACATGTTGATGACGAATCTGTGTGCAACGAATCGGTGATCACACGTCAAGGTCCAATACTACTAGATCAACTCGATAAACTCGCTGGGTCTTCCCCATTTCGTGCTCATCTTCGTACTCAAGTATTACTTCCCTTCCTGAGCTTCGCGTTGTCACTTCGTAACTGGTGTCATTCCCTCTCATTGTCAACACAAAACGTCCCTTGGTTTACTGCCCTTCCTTTTCGTAACTTCTCACCCAGACCTATACTTCCTCTAAGAAAAGCAAAGCAGGTCTTTCCATGGATAGAGAATACCACTTATTAGTAATTCTACCAAGAATCGTGGACGATCCCTGATCTCGCGGTCTTCTTCTAGCTAGTCTATTACGTGGAAGAAAGAACACGCGGCTTCAACGGGTATATTTATAGCCTCCTCCTCCCTTGAACAATGGCTATGGAAGACTTACACGTGCCCAAGGTAATTGGGAGGCGCTGCTAAGGGCGAAATGGAATAGTGAGCTGAAGGCGTTGCTCGGTCCTTCCTAGTAGAGGCTTGTAACCGGTGGCAATCGGGGATGGACGCAATTCATGTGTGTATATATACACGGCCATTCCTTGATTTGATCGGTGAGCGAGACAAGCGTATGGATTCTGTAGATATCTTGCGAGGATGAAACAAGGGAAGCTAGGCTGGCCTGTTTCATGCAAGTGGCCATATATCCAGTCCGAATTGTCCCTGAGCAGCACGAAGCTTCCTCTTCTTGCATCACCACTCGGGAATCTCTTTTTCCCCCCAGGGGGCTGCTTCCAGCTCCGCAACTACAGTCATTCCTATTCCCGGTGTCAGCGAGCCAGGCTCCTTGTCAACCTAACTTTCCTTCCTTCGGTTCGTTTCGCCCCTTCATTTCAAATTGCTCTTCTCTAAGTGACGGTAAATTACTGCTTTCTCTTCAGAGAAAAAACCCCGCTCGGGGCTGGTAAGCTGCTCCCGTAGTCAGAGATTTCGTCTATCCATAGCAATCAAGTAAGAAAGAAAATGAAAACTAGTCGTGTGAGTGCGTCCAAAACAGAGACATGACTAGCTTCCTTCCCATGCATATATCTCGAAGTACTGGAATCGGCTGCAGAAACTAGACATGGGCAGTATAGGTCACATTTAGAAATTGATTCTGCTCTCCAACTTGGTTGCAGACATGACTCAGTTTTTTGAGGGAGGATTCCGATTTGAGTCATTTCAACATTCCAAGCTCAGAGAAAGCTCAGCCATAATCAATGCAAGCACAAGAACCCCCCAACGGAGAAGAGAGTTTAGGTTATGGGAAGCGGTTAACCGAGTTTAATAAAAATAAATACGGCAGCGGCTTAGTTTATATTGTCATTCAGTATAAACTCCTTATTTACTTTCCTTGCGATGATTAGTCTCTCTGCAATGCAGCGCTTGTTATTGTCAAGTCCTCACCTACTGTCACTCTATGGTGCCACAGTAAGACTATTTTTTGCATAGCATTGTTGTAAAGTACTGTTCCATTGTGATTGAATCTACAGTGTCACACTTTGCCCCGACTTGCGTGCCTTTACTCTTCCTCATGAGTTCATGCCCAATCGAGAATTTCTTCCTCACAAAAATAAAATGAGACTCCTCGTTGTGACAGATTCATCTACGACGTCAAGAACAATAGCGATCCTTGCAAGTGCCAAAATTTCTTGTGCTTGCTTCTATTTGTAATAGCCGTAGAGCTACCACGTTGGAGGATATTTATAACACCTTTTTCCATGAGTAATGATTATTTTGAGCCCAGATGATGCAGCTTATAATTCAGCATAGGATCTTAGAAGACGAAGAACCAATTTTGAGGTATAAAGTAATGAACTTTCACACACTTGCTAGCACAGGGAAGAAACAGATTTTGAACAAGACTTCAGACGTCCAATTTAGATTTATCCCTTCGTCTGGCGAGACATAGTCCACGCTAGCAAGGGGGCCTGGCTTAGACTAGAAAGTCGTAGCTTCGGTTAGTCATCCATTGCCTTTTCGCCCTGTGTCAAGCCCCCTTACTAGCGTGGACTATGTCTCGCCAGACGAAGGGATAGGAAGGAGCGATCCTGCAACTGGTCGGAGTACTGAGGTCGGGATTTTAAGAACACTGTGGATTTATAGCGCGGGCCAAATGAGAGATTGTGGAAGAGTTTTGCGGGCAGCCCGTTGCGTTTCCGTCTTCAATCCGTGCCTTTCTGCTTTTCTATTCCTGATACGAGTTTAGCATCCGTGCATTGCTAGCTTTGTTTGAGGCTGATTGGGCCCCTCGCTAAATTAGAGGATTACTGCATTTTCTTCCCCCAGACGTTTCGGCTTCCTCGTCTTACCTCCTTTTCCAACTTCGTTCATCAATCATCAACCTTCTCTCTCATTATTTGCACAGAACAATTAACATGGAGAATACAGCTCCGTTGTATTCCTACCGATCGGTGGACTCGTGTTCTGGAGGCTTTCGACTTGCCATGTTACAACCGTCAGCCCATTTCCCCCCGCCGATCACGTGCAGTCTCGTGGAGGTTACACTGGATGACCATCCCATTTATGAAGCCCTCTCATATGTATGGGGAGATCCTAAGCTTCAGTCAACTTTGCAAATAGAGGGTGCAAGGCTCAAAGTCACGACCAACCTTGAACTTGCTCTTCGATATCTACGACTGCCTGACAAGCCCCGCACAATCTGGGTTGACGCTATCTGTATTGACCAGAGCAACATCGAAGAACGAAATCAGCAAGTCAGACTTATGAAAAGCATCTACAGCTTTTGTGCGGTGGATTTGGTGTGGGTTGGCGAGTCTGATGAGTATACCCAAAGTGCAATCGACAATGTCAAGCGCATGAAGAGTCTGAATCTTCAACGACTTACTGATCGGGGTTCGAAGCATTTTGGAATTACTGGATCAGATGAGCTGGTCTCGCTCTCTGAGTTGGGTCTCGATTGCGAAGCCTCGCTGGGCCTCCTACAACTCTTTGGAAGCCCTACTCTATGGGAGCGAGTCTGGGTGATGCAGGAAATCGCGTGCTGTCCTCGAGCAGTATTGGTTATTGGGAACTTAACTCTGCCTTGGGAGACACTGAGTAGTATATTGGATCATTCGGGTACCCCCGACCGGTATCATCTGCCGTTTTCCCATCAGTGGTATGACCAGGATATTTGGGATGCATTCTCGAAGGTTCAGGTCATCGAGCATCAGAGAGAGGCTCTCAATTTGACGGTTCCGATCAATTCAACGCTTTTGGATGTCTTATCACGCTTTCGAGCTACTTACAGTAAGACCAATTCAATCTGTGGCTAGGAAGTCTTGCCTTAAAGTGGTTGACGGGAGAAGTGGGATAAGACAAAGCTCTGAATCACAAGTTTCTATTCTCAAACAACATCTGACAGCAGAATTTTTTTCTCTTGATTGCGATATACATACTCTTTCTGACTTGCATACACTTAGGTTCCGATCCTCGGGATAAAATCTATGGACTCCTGGGTCTAGCAACAGACAATCTCGACATCATCCCCGACTACAAGAAGACCCCACAAGAAGTCTACATTGACGTAGCACGAGCTCAGATAAATTCGACTGAAAATCTGGATATAATCACTCAGAGTCTCTGGCCACTCGGGCATATGCCTGCCACTGCCCCCCATGCACACAAAATGTATTCCGGCAACCCGTCTTCGCTGGTTGAAAACCTTCCTTCGTGGCTTCCAAACTTCTCCTGCACAGTAGCTAACAAGATTCTCTTTGCTCAACGTTCGACCTTTTCTGCAGGAGTGGAGAAATGCAAGTGTCCTGTTGAAATTTCCCCTGATGACACGCTTACAGTCGAGGGTATCGTCCTTGGCGCCATAACAGCAATGAAACCCGTTCGGATGACGGTATATCCTCACGACTATTACTTCTCACCCTGGGCGCGAGACTGGATGCCCGAGAGTTTAGCAGACCCGAACTCCGAGGACAAAATATACGCCACTGGCGGGAATGCATTTGAGGCGTATTGGAGAACTTTGATGACTGACTGCCTCGCTCTTCCGTCTCGGAGGCTGAGTCAAGGAGATCTGAAGGAGTACACAGAGATCTTCAACGAATGGCGTCGAAAAGCATCTGTACTTCCGTGGTTTGACCCGAAACTTAAACAGCATGATTTGTATGACGGGGATCAAGGCCTGATGAGCAAAATAGGCGGCATAGCTAGCAGGACTGGGATCTCTTCTGTGATGAGCAAATGGCAGTTCGCTGAGTTGGGTGGTGGGCTGTACGCCATGGTTCCTTGGGAAGGACACTTGGGAGATAATAAACCATCGCAAACCGGTGATTTGGTGGTTGCAGTTGATGGTGGGAAGGTTCCTCTTATTCTTCGGGAGAGGAAGAATGTCGGCCATCATGAAAATGGTGGAGTTAAGTGGGAGGTTATTGGCACCGCGTATGTTCATGGATTCATGGATGGACTAGCAAGCCAGTGGGCTGAGGATGGAAAGTTGACGAGGAGGGATTTTGGTCTGATTTGATTAAACTCTAACGAAAATGACCGGAGATTGACTGTCTCTTTCCAGGAGAGAGGGGAAGGATGCCTGCGCTCAGTCTGTAATTAAAAGGACGTACCTAACGAGGCACAGTATATTTGTCACTTTGTTTTGTGTTGTAGAGTGTGAGTTTCTTTGGGGTGAAGTGGGGCGCAGGAGGTCCAATCAGCTCGGCGTCGTGGTGTGAAGGAAGTGGTGTGGGTACACGGATATGTAAGATCTTACTAGTACGGAAGTACAGCCCATAAGTGCTAGCAGGGGTCTGAACTTCAAACCCTTATAATGCAACTACGAAATGCTATAAAAAACAGGAAAATGAGATAGTATAATAGCATACGTATATGAGATGATAATTGAGTTTACTAGGCGCTTTTATGTCGCGTTTTGAAAGAGTTATGAGGGTTCAAATTTTCATAGACCCCTGTCGATTCGGTTGTTATATGAATACTTATGGGCTGTACCTCCGTATAGAAGACCTTGGCGTTGGTGGATTTGTCCGTGATTATTCAGCAGGGCACCAGCGTTTTCGTTAAATAGCGTTGTCCTGCTTTTGCTTCTTCGAGTATCGATCGCCACCATCCCCACCCAGAAGTATATCCTCAATTCATACGAATCAAGCCGACCCGCACCCACTACTAAACACTATTCAATACTCCCAAATTCCCACTATCGAAAAACTCCCCCTTACTGATCGAAGTCTGGCCCCACCCCCACTCCTAAGCCTTGTCCTTGTACCCCTGGGAACAGACTAATGTGTTCAGATCACTTCACTCATGAAGAAATCACTCCCGACCCACCTTAGGTCACCAGAAGAAGCTGCATCAAGGCCGCCGCAGCCTGGATCTAGGGACAATGAAGAAAGTGGTTCGTCTAGCGCTGGCAGGATTTGGATCGTAGAAGTGTTCACAAGAATGGCAGCTAACATGCTACCTTGCAGAATCCGAATCGGTAAATAAGCACTCCCTTTATACAAGATCCATTACGACTACTGTCCGTTCCTGATTTCAATTTGCTAAATACCTTGGGTTCCCATAGACGCTCCAATTTATTACTGAGACTGGGACATCTCGACATAAAGGGCAGGTTCTCCGAATCATTCGTGGACAAGCCAGGCAATACAGGCGCAGAAATCAAAACTTGCCTTCGAAGCGCATGATCGGTGCGCATCATCCTAACACCAAATCGAACAAAATCAAACAGAATTCCACATTAGACACCCGACGGCTACTTGCCAACCTTGCAATCAAATATGTAAACCCTGAACCAAGCGGAGGTCCGGCGAGTAGCAGGGTCGACCCATTCAATGTGTTACCTCTTGATGGTCGTGGCGTTTCCCAAAGCTTGATTTTCCAATGTAGGTTAGGAGTTTGTTATGCTTTTCGACAACAAGGGACGGAGCAGTCTCCGGACCCCATTGATTATATAACATAAAAGAGGATTTCCCTCCTATAACCTAAATCTCTGCGGTAAAACAGGATTTCTCGAGGTTCACACTGCCCAATCGTACTTTCTGGAGAATCTCAGAAAAAGGGCTTGATTCTTTCCGATCTGTTAGCATTGAGAGAGCTGGTTTTTAGTTCGGATAAGAGCCAGAGACTTTTGCTATTCACGGCCCTTATGACCATCTTTCACGCCAGTATAATCATGCTGTACGTGGATATTGGACTAATAATCGCATAGATCACACAGCTTTGGTTATCACAGAGCATGTTTTCTCGCCATTCAGATCGAATTTTCAAAAAGCGCGGTTTCTTAACCTCGCAATATCAGACTCCGCAGTCTTACATACGTTCTTGGCAACTGTAGCCAACATGTTAGGGACCATGTCTGGCAGAGACTCGAGACTAGATATGCACTACCATCTTGGCCAAGCAATCACCATAGTGAATAAACGGATTTCAAATTGCGATTATAAAGCAGTCACCAAGGAAACCGTAATGGCCATCGCTTGGTTAACCAACATGGGAGTATGCACTATTCCCCCTTCTGCGTTTATAGTCATGCTAATAATGGCTCTCTTATTAGCGATGGTCTATGGATATGACTAGTCTTACAATCCATTATGATGGCCTAGAAGTTCTAGTAAAGAGCAAAATTCAAGAGCTAGTCGGCGACCCGTTCATACTGAATCTCACTTTGTGGCAAGTTACACCCACACTATTTCATATGGAACTTGCCTAATCATCTCGAGTCTGGATAGGACCGATATCTTTTGTGCTATTGCCACGGGATACGAACCACGCTTCCGATACCTCGTTCAAGTTCCTCTTGATATCGATCATAAAGACTTGGAACCCCTCAGTCTCTTGGGGGTACGGTACAAGATTAAACTATCTAATCTTACAGGTCTGCAGGATCTAAGCAACGAGACTGTTGAGATCTGGCGCATGCTGCGGCAGCTGATAGCTAAGGAACAGAGAACAGCGGAGTCACAAACAACGAACTTCACGGAAGCAGAACACAATTGCATTCAATGCCCTGACCGACTCGTTTATCGAGTGCTCGCGCTCTCTCAATGTAGAGTTCCCGATTCGCCGAATCATAATGCAGTCATTTTCATGTTATTTGGATATGCAGCTCTGTCACATGTTATACTATTTTCACGAAATGTGCCCCCTTGGTTTTACCTGCAGGTGGATACCGGCCCGCGGGAACGAATACTGCAGAAACTGAAACGAATGGGAATAGTGATAGAGACGATCGACCTACGGGCATTTCAGATTGCGTATCCAGAGATGATGCTTTGGATCATCATGATGGGGGGCTTGACTACCATTGGGATGGAAGCGCAGGGGAGATATGCTAGCCTGCTAGCAGAGGCATGCTATGCTGCTGGGATTACCGGGACAGCCGAGCTTGCTATTTCCTTGTCTGATTTTCTGTGGACAGATCTGTATCTTGATACTACTTACAAGAGGTTCTGGGATGCGGTTGGTGTGCTCTGGGATGCTGTTGCGGCGGCACATGGACTTGCTAGAAGCTGGAAATGAGATGGGCAGGTGAGGTTTAAGGGCTTAATATAAACCTCACGTAAATATCTCGAGCCTTACATTATCGGTTAAAAATGATTCTTACGCCAAATGCTCGATTTCCACAAAGTCCTAGTCTTTTTCGGTGACGACTCATACACATTACCAGTAATAGCCGCCAACCCCTTCGGCATTTGGCGCAATCAATTCTACTGGTTCCTCTCTCATCTCCGAGAAGGCTCCGGTTGCGCATTCTGCTCCTTAATTCTGCAAACCTTGAACCTCTCACACGAGGTTGAAAACCTCGAGAGTGGGTTCATCACAGCGCGGAGAGAAGCACTTTACAGCAAAGAAAAAGAAACTTCTAGGCCGAACCTGTATTTCCTTACCTTGGCGATCCCAGAAGGCGATGACTTGAAACCACCGGAAGGGAAGGGATACGCGCTTGCAGTGAAGGAAAATCACAAAATGAATGTTTCGAATAGCATGGAGGCAACCCTGAGATATTTTCAGTCGCATTTCCCGCCTGGCATGGTCCCATTTTCTACGACTGATGAGCAAATCAAACCTTCCGGAACTAAGACAATCTAGAGCGCTGTTCGACATAATGGGCTCTCTTCCAGATACTATCAAGGATGCAATCTCTCTTTGCCAGAAACTCGACGAGCAATACCTCTGGGTGGATTCTCTCTGAACCATTCAGGACTCCCTTGAAGACAAGATGAAGTTGAAGGATGAACCAACTTGGCGAAATGGATGTGATCTGCAGAAGAGCGCTCCTAACCATCATCTCTGCCGCAGGCCCGGACGCAAATGCAGGACTCCCACGAAAGGAATCCCCCTCCACAAAAGTCGCTTCACTAGACCTTCTTGCACTCCCAACAGATGGAGAATACGATGTAATCACATCGACCTGGAACTCCCGCTCGCGACTTTCGGGTGCCAAGAAGCATGCTGGCGTGAAGATCACGAGCTGCAAGGCGAGGGGTGGGTTCAATTCCGTCTTGTGCAGAACGATATACATGAGCAGGAGACACGGCAGAATTTCCATCAAATCATTTCCGATGACACAATGTTGGATTCTGATAAGAGGGTTCCACGGGGCAGCATGTCAATATTTTTTTTGGCGGTCTCTTTCAGGGCTGCTATGCGCCGCTTCTGAGAGACTATACCAAGAGGCAGTTGACGGAGGCGTGTGATATGCTGAATGCGTTCAAGGGAATCGAAGTTGCGCTTTCTAAATCTCTTGGGGACTTTTTACTGGGGAGTGCCGCGGCATTTGCTTGCTCAGGCACTCTCGTGGATCTCGAAGACGGCGCATCTTTCTATCCGTAAAGGACTCCCTTCTTGGCCTTGGGCAGGATGGACATATCGAGACGGCAACAGTGCCAACTGTTCGACTACTATCCATGGGCCGCATCATGGGTCTGTCATTTTCTCGGACGTAGCGGAGATGGTGTCCTGGAATTCGGATATATGAGTGGAACGACCGATTGCTCATCCCTGAGGATCGACCGAGGGCAAAAGAATGGGATTTCACCTTACAGGGCGCGGTTGAGGAAGTTTGAAATCGTGAAGATGGGGCCCCATTCTCGAGGCTCGTGGTTTCCTGGACATCGATAGCTCCAATCCAAGTCAGCGATGAAGACTCAATTCTGAAGGACGCCACAGTGATTCGAAATTGCGATCGTGGGATAATGATTGATGGAGAGCTAGACGAGGAAGATTTTAGGGATATTAAGAAGGACCTCGAATTGAGGGAGATAGAGTTGGTGTATCTTGGGGCCAACTCCCAACGGTTGAGCGACTTCTGCGCGATTTTGGTGGAATGGATTGATGGTGTCGCGCGACGCAGATGTCTTCGTTTAGAAGGGTTCACCCGCCAACCACCCGAACCCACTTTCCGCCAAATCCAAAGTTCAACTTTAATATTAGTTTCTCAATTATTAATATAATTTCATATTTTTTTTATGTTTGGCTAAATAATATATTCTTTAATTGGATCTTAATATTTTAAAGTAAAAGATATTATTTATATTATTTATAAAACTAAGTTTTTAATTATATTTTCAGAATTTTAATTCTATATCAAATAATAATTAAAAGAAGCCTTTTTACAAATATTTCTATAATTGAGAGACATACTACTATTAAATAAATAAAAATTGATTTTCATAAAAATTAATTAATTATTATTGTTATAGATAGCGAGAGAAAAACCGGTTTTTAGCTTGGGCGGTTAGTGGGTGAACCCTTCTATCGTTTTCGATTCCAGGAGAGGATTAGGGGGCAGCTGTGCCAGTACGGAGATTAGTCGTTCTTGCTTGACGCCCCTAATCCAGACCGAAAACTTCCCTGCAGCCATCGAACTCCTTTATCGGGGAATCAAATAGTTCTGCATTCTGTGAGTTAGACGAGTTAATTCGGCATACCTTCCTAATGTGGTTGGGGCGAGCTACCGGTACTTGAGAGATGGGCGTGGACCGTGTGGATCGGTTTTGTATCATCATCATCGGCAGCGAGGCTCTCTGCTTGACGGCATCACGCGGTAGAACTTTCGTGCTGCTGCCACACTTGTCTCGGGAAGGGCAGGGATAAGCTGCAAGTAGATAGATCAATAGCCAAGGGCACGGTATCATTACGACTGCTTTTAAAACTCCACATTAACACTCCTACAACGCCCGAACCATGCATGTACAGTTCCCCTCCATCCCCCACCTTAAGACGCCCTACCGCAGCTCAAAAAGACTGGTCTTAATCTCTTGGGTATTCTGATACTCCATCGCCTCTCCATCCATCATGCCATGCACGTATGCCTCTCCCAAAAACTGGTAATAATACCACCGCTCATCATCCTCATCTTCGGGAACCTTCTTCAACCAAGCCTTGAAACCCTGATCCCATGCCTTTGCAACCTCTTCTCTTTCTAGCCTCTTCCTCTCGCCTTCGTTTGTGTAGGGCGAGGTGCCTGGCGTTTGCGGCAGTGGCACAGAGCGGGGTGTCTGTGGAAGCTGCGGAGGGCCAACAGGCGGGGGTGTTCTTCGGCCATCTTCGCCATGCTCTTCGTGATGGAGTTCGATGGAGTCTTGACTTTCACCCAACGGCCCAGAACCATCGGAATGGCCATCGCTCGTCCCTGGAGTACCACCTTCCAACAATCCCCGCGTCTCCCTCCTCGCCAGACTCCTCGACTTCACAATTCTTCTCCACCTCATCCCATACTTCCTCGTAATATACCACAAGATTGTAGGATCCGAGGAATCCATACTCGTGCCCTTCTTCCGCAACAGCTTCATTAGCAGCCTTTTGGTCCTCGCCATTCTCCACCTGCGATCCCTCTCGAACTTCCGCTTCCATCGCCTCTGCAGATCCGTCACAGTATTGACGAAGTCCTCCTTTCGCTCTTTGGCCAGCTGGTTGGCTGTTTTCTTCTTCTCGCAGCGGCGCAGGATGACGGGTACACTGCAGCCGTATAGGATACAGACGAAGTCTCCTTTTTGAACATTCTTGGAGGCTAGGCCGATATTGTCACTCTCTGTCTTAGTACTCTTCGTCTTGATCAGACACCGGTTCCAAATCACGGCCTGCACCCTGCGGCAAAACTGGGCCACGACCGAGCACCGCTCGTTGTTGATAAGATCGCTCGTGCTGACGCTCCCGCTTGGCAGTCCTCCTTTCAGGAACGACTCTTTACACGCTCTTGAGTAATAGACAGGGGGATTCCGCCCATCGCGTCCGCGATCTGCTACCAAAGTACGCCAGAACTCGTCAGGAGGATCGCTCTTGTCGACATCTCGCCATTCAACGGCATCTATCCATTCTTGCGGAATGGCACCGCCCTGAGAGGCTGGGTAGACTTGTTCGACTGTGTCGAGCACGAAGCCTTTCACGTACATGCTGAAATGCATGCTTCCGTCCAACCGTTTCTTGAACCGTAAGGTTTTCCTATCAATCCCACGTGTTTCGGCGGCGTTATAGTTCCGCTGTAGTGCTGTCGGGAGACCAACGAGTGTATCTGCGTTTTTCCTTCCCATCTTGAGTGTATGCACGCCAGCATGCGCGTACATGGCATACGGTGCACCACTGAGAGTGGGAACCCAAGTGGGGAGTGTCATGTCGATTTCTTGTGGCATTTGACGGCGACTGTTCTCGTAGAAGGCATGCTTTTCGTGTGAACTCTTCTTATCTTCTGCTGCCCAAGGACGACAAATGATATCCAGGGCACGTGTGGGGTCTGATTGCAATATACAGAATTGGATAAAAGTCTTGCAAACATCAACATATGGCGATTCGTAGGCCACGGTGTACCGTTTTCGCTGTGTGAAGTCTTCGAGTACGGATTTTGTACGGTCGAGGAAGAGCTCGGAGCTCTTGTGGTAGGGCTTTCGAATAGGTGTTGGTACGAGAGCGGGCTCTGGTGTTAGTTCGGAATCGCTGGCTGAGGGTGTGGTGTCTTTGGCGATGGCGAGGAGAGCGTAGATGGTGTCGTGCTCAACGGAGACATCAAAAATGGATAAGCTCGAGACCAGATACTCCAGGCTCAAAAGGGGCTGTCTGCCTGCTCTCTCGGCAACCAAACGGTCTTTATCACCCTTTCGGTCGGACTCTGCCGCTGCTATGGACTTCGTGTCACGGAACAGTTTGCCGGTTGCTTCGACGAGAAGACTCGCACCCAGGGCGGAGACGTATTCAAACCATCCCGGTACGTGATAGAACTGGGGATCCTTTTTCATGACTTCGGAGAGTCGATGTGTTGCTGTCTCAACTTCGACGAAAAGCTCAACCGCCACTGCGAAGTCTAATTGACCAAGTCAGCTTTATACCTTTGAGCAAGGCGCCAGTGGGAAGCAGGTTGAAAGCTCAAGAGAAGTTTGGAATGTGTACCTTTCCAAGGAATCTTGTCCGCACCGCAGTAAATCACTGCCTCTCGAGCCAGTGCGATTTCCTGCACCACCCATCTCCGAGAGAACCATCGGCGCTGCATAAGGTCCAAGAGAGCTCCCCACTTCTTGCTTGCCTCCTTGCTGTCACACAGCTCGTCGAAGTTTTGAAGTTGAAGAACTTCTTTTTGAATAAATTTGAAGGCCATGGCGCTAGTTGCATCGCCTTCTCCAAGCCAAACACAACTAGAAATCAAGTCAGCACTCTGAAATACGGGAAGCGTTGTGCCAAAATAATCAAACACCTACACCCTCTTAGCTTGGCCATAAATCGTCGACATCATTTCGACCTGGTGGTTCCTCTCGCCGATATCCGCCTGATTTATACAAATCGCATCAATCCAGAGATACCGATCTTCTTGCGGATGCCGCAGAGCTTTCAGAGCAGCAAGCAAATCCGGCTGCACCTTCTTCGAATAAATGCGCCCATTCTTCCGAATATTAATATACGACGTCGGTTGTACGGTCCCCCAACACCAAGATAGAGCCTCGTACTCCTTCCCGAGTGAACCCCTCGTCAACTTCTTTGGATCGATATCAACAACCACCAACTTGCATTCGATTTGTGGATTCTCGGGACTGCTGGAAAAAAGATTCAAGAGTCGCATCGATCGTCGTTTATCTGGAAGTCGTTCGTATACGAACTCCGTTGGCGGGGCCGTGGGGGCCTTTTGAATGTGCTCATGTTGGCTGTATCCATCATAGTAGCGCGAGCACCCCTGACAGAAAGCCTGCTTCGACATGACGAAAAGAATTGGCGCAGAAACACAAATGAACAAATACACAATAAAATCGCGAAGAAATACAAGGAACGGGTTCATCGGTTTGCGGGCAAGAATCTAGAACACGTAAAGTTATGCATAACGGAAACGTCTGCCTCTTTATATAGGTGATTTTTCAGGTGGTGGAGGGGGAGCATGAGGCTCAAAGGGGCCAAGGCCTGATCGTATTGGCCCTGAGGCGCGAGATGAGGACAATGCTGGCCCAATGGATCAAGGCCCATCCCGCGCTTCTTCAACTTCCCAGACGTGGCCTACGCCTCGCCATGTGTGGGTGACATCGCGCAGATCAATTCCCTGATTCGTGAATGTCGGGGGATTCTGCCCAAGGCTGAAAATCAATAAAGCTCGAGAAATTGTGGATTGCAGCTGCATCCCAGCAATCAGGAGTCTGCGTCTTCAGGAGGGTCCGACTCCAGCCACTTTGTGACACAATGAGCCAATAGGTTTGTGAGCGCAAAGCACGGAAGAAGGATTGAGTTGATAATCGTGGCGCTGAGCTGAACTTACAGCGACATCGCGGGCTGGACCGTCGCCAAGTGAAATGCTTGATCCAAAGCTCGCCTGGGGTTGCCAACTTTGCTGACCCATCTGGCTTCGGATCTCGATTGTCTCAACTCTCTTCGAGTCCGCAGTCCTAGATGGCTCTGTGCTTCGGGGAATGGGTGAACTTTTTATATCTTTAACATGCCGCGATGGAGACACTGAATCGCCACGCCAACATCCCCTGAAAGACCTCTGTCTCCATCCGAAGCCTTCTCCGGGCCCTGCCTGGAATCCTGGATCCTCAAACTGAATTTATTATCATGCATCCCTAAGAAGTGCGCACTAATGCAACAACCTGCATGGCGCGAATCTCCCGGCGCCCCCCAAAAGCTTAGCCAAACTCTCTCACCGAAAAGGGCGAGGGCTGAACGAACCGAAAATAGATTTGCGTGCCCTACACGGAAATCAGGGTCGCGAGGCTGAGGATTCGATTGATAATTGAAATGAGGCATTCTTTGGACCTCGTCTGGCACTGGCGTGAGATATGCAGTGATGGAAAGGAGGGCTTCAGACAATCAGTGCAGTTGTGATTCGCTCGGAGCTCTGCACTCCTGATCGCGTGAAGATTGGTGCGCGCGGGCCCAGCCGGTCAGAACCTCCCGGCAATGCATCCACCGTAGGGCTGTGAGATGATTTGTAATTATTTACGTTCTATAATAATCAACTCCAGCGTAATTATATAATAATCAAGCCTTCAATTACGGACTATGTAAGGAGCTGCATAAACCACGTATAATTTGTGCATAAGTCATCACGTGGAAGGATAAATCTCATGGAATTGATATGCTTCTTTCCCGTGGAGTTTTGGACGTTATTGGTTGGTATGTTAGTAGAGGGATTAAGATAATTAGGCTGAATTAGGTGTGCAGTTCATAGTGCTCGCGATATAAAGCTGGAAGGTTTGCTTATTAGAGAGAAACACGAAACGCGCTACTTAAATACAGTTCACATAATACCCCCTTCTATATAGAATATCACTACAATTAAGTCCTAGTAATTATATTATATTATTACGAAATCAAGTCCTGACTTAAACAATTTTCACATCCCTGATCCACTGTCTGATTTATTGACGTTTATCGGCCGCTCCACACCGGAGCAGGGAGTACAGACGCGGGCACTAATAAAGCACTGCACATTCTAGTCAGTGCGTGAGCAGAAGTTTCGTCAAAACCGGAATTCTGCAGAACAGGTGGGGAAAGATAAAGAACCCTTGCGCACCTGTCAGTCCATACGACGTGGCTCACATGAAGACGTCCACGTGACCTAAACAGTCGGTTTTACTCCCTAGAAGCTCTGATAACAACGAGGAACTCGATTCTTCGTTACGTACCTTCGCCGAGATATAGCATCAAGTAGAATATCGGCTACCGAAATAACAGAGCGTCCAAAATCAGCTCCAAAAGACTTTTGGCAGTTTCATAGGAGAGCGAGAACGGATACCACCACGACATCGTAATAGGTTAGAAATAGTGGCCGTGTTTCAGACTAACAGGAGTTAGAAATATTTATATTTAAATAACATGGAAACTGTAACCGATTATTAGGGAGCCAGAAGCGGATCCCCCTAAGCGTGATCTAGCTAACTCTTTAGCGTTATTAGGGCTCTGGGCTCGGCCCAGGTTAGAGCAGCGACTACTGCGGTCCAAAGACGCGGGGTCCATATTCGGTGTAGATTAGTGGTCATATTATATACTGAAATTAGTTAAGGTGTAAGTGTCAAATATGTGGGGAGAGGAGTTGTGCGAATGCAATTGAGGATAATATTTGTGGAGTGCGAAAAGAAGTTAGGAGTGTAAAGTATGTTGATCCATTGTATTTATATTAATGTTACTGATTTCTTCCCGTCGTTTACCTTCGGCTATGGCGGGAACTTGATCACCACAGTCGCAGCTCTCATACGCCTTCTTTACCCTCTCGAAAGCACTCCCCCACCACATCCCTCAATTTCTTAATACTTACCGGCTTATTCATAAACCTATCCGCTCCAGCATCCAACGCCTCCTGCTCAGCCTGGAGGGTCGTCAACGCCGTCAACGCAATGATAATCGCCGGCTGCAACCCGTTCTGCTTCTCGTATTTCCTGATTTCAAGACTCGCTTCCATGCCGTCCATGACTGGCATCTGGATATCCATGAAGATGATGTCGAATCTGGGATTGCGAGTGTCGGCTACGTCACGGTAGGCAGCTACGGCTAGAGAGCCGTCGGTTGCGGTGGAGTAGTTGTGCCCCATTTTCTTGAAAGAAGCAACGAGGAGTTTGAGATTGATGGGATTATCTTCTACGAGGAGGAGGGAGAGTCGCTTTTGTCCGGAGGGGAGAAGTGGCTCTTGTGTCTTTGGTGGAGGAATCGTTTCCGGCTTAGTGATTGCCGGAATCGGGGCATCGTTCGAGGGGCCGTTCTTCGAGGTCTCTGTTGCCACAGGGATCTCGGGCTTTGGGAGGATGGCAAGAGACTTGGTGGGAGCTTGAGGTTTTTGAGCAGCCGAGAAGCAAGACTCCACAGCTTGCCTGAACCTACTGGGGCCGAACCTGTTTCCAAAAAGTGAGCTTTGATTTGAAGGAAGGAGGATGGGGTGTCTGGAGCTCACGGCTGTGACAGAACGGCGGCGGAACCAAACTCTGTATTCATCTGCCCATAGCGCATCATTGGTTCTGCAGACAGTACGATCAGTGGTTTCTGGAACGAAGACTTCTGGGACGAAATTAATCGCTGGTACTCAGGTTCAGTGGCGAGAATCAGGTCAGCTGCATCAGAGTTCAACGAATCAACAGCCAAGACAGACAATCCAAGGTTCATCGCATAGTCTGCGAGAGTTGAGCGAAGAGCAAGCCGTCGTCGAGCTATAGCATCTAGTATACCATTCGGTGTCTCCGACAGATCGGGAACGACATCAAGCCCGCAGAGGCCCAGACGAAGACTCTTGAACTGTGGGCGCTCGGAAAGAGTCGGCAGGGCAGTGGTCGGATCTGGACGCTGAAGACCAACGTCTATCCGCACCTCTGTGCCTGAGTTCAACTCACTGGTGACATGGGCTGAGCCACCAATTGAAGATACTAATTGGTGCACGATGCTCAAGCCGAGTCCAGTCCCGGGACTGAGAGTGTCCTCTTGATAGAAGGGCTTGAACAGATGGTGTGTGAGATAGTCCTGAGACATTCCCTTCCCAGAGTCTTCGATGGTAAGGGTGACATTGAAGGTCTTTGTAGGTTTTGTCCCTGTGGTGGACCCGCGCTCCAAGGGCAGCCTGTCCGCCATCGGGGACAAGGCAACTCGAAGATCCGGGTCGCTCATTGCCTTTGCTCGCGTTGCTAAGATAGTAGGCCGTGCTTTGGACTCAAGAACTGGCAAATCTTCCTCGAGCCGTAATTTGATAAGAACAAATCCTGAAGAGGTGTACTTCAAAGAGTTTCCCAACAGGTTCATCAAGATCCGTTTCCAGATGCCGGCATCCGTCTTGAATACCCAGTCACATTCGGGAGAAATATCACATATGACTGCGAGTCCAGGAGCTGCCCTGCCATTGAGTGCCTTGGGGTCGGTAGTCTTTTGATGTGGTGCACCAGATGCTTCCACAGTCCGACGGAAATAGTGACCAGCAATGAGCATTTGTGTGACATCTTCCACGAGAGCTGCGAGATCCACGGATGGCGCGCGTCGCGCAACGACGCTATTCGCCCGAGCGGTTAAGCGATTGACCTTGGTAAAGGTCAGAAGGTTCTCGATGGTATCCAAGAGAGTAGATCCGCAAGACTCGACAGTGCATATGATTGCGTTTGACACTGGGTCCGTATTGGCATCACGGAGGAGTTCAACGCTGGCCATGATGCCGTGGAGCGGGGAGCGCAACTCGTGGGATATGGAAGATATGAAACCCGATTTTGCATTGTCTGCTGCAATAGTCTCTAGACGGGACAGTTCGGTCATGATAGAATTCCCGAAACTTGCGAGATATGTAAAATCCTGCCTTTGGAAGATGCGAGCAGGATTGGTTGTCCAGGCTAGGCTGTATGCGAACCACTTGTCTTGATTCGTATCCCACAACGGAAGAAGCAACACTGAAGTAGCTTCGGGGAGGATACTACGCAATTTATTTGCCTCCATTGAGCTGTCACTGTCTACACCATTCCCCGGTTTGATGACAGGTTTCCCGCCAATTTTCCGGGAATCGGACGGATACAGGAAGATCGAATCATCTCCGTCAATGAATCCCTTTTTGTCGTAATTGAGAATGCCGCCTCGCGGATATCGCTGTAGGAGCAGTTGAAGGATATTTTCCGGAACTAGCAATCCTTCTCCCGCGAGCCCGTCGCCATTTGATTTCCTGCGAGTTGATGATGCCAACACTTTGCAGTATTTACTTGGTTGTGGAGTCTGCTTATCGAATGGCGGGAAGTATGAGGAAGAATTGCTGAATGGAACCGGCTTCGCCGTGGGTGAAATGCCGCTGTTACGCCTGTCGACCCAAGCGACCTTCTCTCCGGAAATGTTGAAATCCGTAAGGAGTTGGCCATCATACGATCGAGGATCAAAGAGGACAATGCCATCAAGACCAATGCCTTCCCTAATGAGATTGGTCGCTCTGTTGAGCATTGTTTCCAGATCGGACAGTTCCTGTGAAGGAAACTGGTTGTCAAGGCTTGGTCCTTGCATTTCATCACCAGGTGTTGGATCCGGTGATGTGTATGTAGTCCCTGGAGATCGTGGTATCTCCGAGCTTGCTTCTGACAGATGGCGGGCTTCTGGTGAGGATGATCCAGTGCATAAAGACAATGCGGGATTGAAATACCCCGATGATCCTGACTGGGATTTGAGTACATCCAAGACTTGAGTCTGGCGGCTGTCAGACATGCCAACGACGCTGTCGATGCTCGTGTTTACTTCTTTGCGAGATCCAAGCTCGATATCAGCTCGCTTTTCGAGACTGAGGTGTTGTAGGCCAGGTTCGGCGACTCGTGATGCCTGGGCTTCGATCCACCATTCTCGCATACTGTCCTTTCCCTCCACAAACTTCCCGAGTGCCTGAATCATCTTCTCAGCATTGTTGCGGTGTATCCTGCTGACACAGAGTTCGAGGTGATTCATTATGACCTCTGAGATTTCTCGCAGTATGCCCAAACCTTCCATATCCAGCCCCTCTCTGGCTTTGTTATCCACAACACAGAGGGTTCCGATCGTCAGTCCAGAGGGACTGTGTATTGGAACCTCGGCGTAATACTTCATGAATGGCCATCCTGCAATATAAGGTCGATCTTTGAAGCCTTCCAAAGCCGACATGTCGTTCATCACATAGTAAGAACGACTCGCCTTAACGTATCGAGAATGAACATCCAAACTGCTATCTATTGCAGTGAAGCATGCAATTGTTCCGGGGCATACACCCCACTCGAAGCTGATTGTGCATTGTCCGAGGTATATACCATCGCCTTCGTCATGTTGGTCCCCGTCTTTCAAGGAGATGCTATTGAAAAGGTAAGCATAGAAACGTAAGAACGGAACGCTGCTTTCGGGCTTGCCTCCGTGTAGCCTCCGCAACCATAAATTGTTTGGAATCGGTTATGATGGAGATGAAAGATCGCTGACAATTGAGCTTATGAGCACAGAGCTGGGCCAAAGCGGTCAAAGCCGTATCAGTCGCGAGTCTTGCTTTCTCTTCCCCGGGGCCAGGACCATCATCGTGAGGTGTGAAGTACCTAACGCTCTGTTAGCAGATGATGGAATCAAGGCACAACAAGCTAACCTAAGAAGTTCCTGGATCCGCAATCTCTCTCTAAACTGTGCTTCCGGGTCGAGCTCCGATTTCTGTTCGCAGTGCTCTTCTGCTAATGCAGCTTCCAATGCTGGAGCGGAGCGGGCAGAGCTGAATGACATGCTGCGAATAGTTTAAGGTGGGCATTCCAAAAGCTCTAATAAGCTCAAAGACCTTGATACGGTCGGAATAGGTGATATCGCCCAAGGAGCCGGTAACTTGAGCTCTGAGTCGGTGGGAACCACCTGTGCGCCCCATGGGAGGCTTTGTATGCCGCGAGGACTCGGCCAACAGCTCCCCCCTCTTCCCCGAGAATGCTCTACGAGGATGGAAATGGAAAGATCTGTACGCCGTCATGTACGGTCATTGCAAAAGAAGAATAGAGGTAGGTTGAGGAATGTGACGAGTGCTCCGCGAATTCTTTATTGCGGGGTTGGAGATCCTTGGTTAGCTGAATGGGACTCGAGCGTGTCGTACAAAGTTATTCTTTTTCTGCAGCGGATCGACGATCCAACAACTGTTGCCCCAGCACCCCCGTACTTGCGGTGTATCCATCTCTTCAAGTTACCCAAAGCCCAACACTCCTTGGGCTTTCCAAAATGCGCGAGTAAGGTTGAGGTCAATCTTGCGGTCGTCCAACGGTAAAAAACTCCACGTGATATGGCAACCGGGGTTGACTTTGACATCGAATCTTCATGGGAAAGCTCTTCTGCATCGTTGCATTGATCCCGTTGTTGACAGACGTGAAACACAGCAGATCGGTGCATCGGCGATCGGCTAAATGGGCTTTCGCGGCATTGTCTCAGCCCGTTCAGCCACCGAGCCAATACGAGAGGAAAACTGACAGCCTTGTCATTTGGTGCCGAGGCGATCGACAGCCTTGCGATGAACATCGATTGCCATCACGCACCTTCGGGCAACCTCCAATCAGAACAGTATCCTTGAGAAAGATACTATGTAATAGTTGGACTAAACGTCGCTTCTAAGTGGCCTTACCCTTAGTCGGCGAAAGCGATCTGTCCCGCGAAAGTGCCAATTTGTACGTGATTTTACACCAAAATTAAAAAAAAAATTCACGCCCCAAAATTCACGGTCACGCACAACTAAAAAGCCTCTTTTTCTTTATAATCTAACTACCTATGTAATAAAATAAAATTTAAACCCTAGAGGGAAAAGCCTTATACTGATAATTTAGTTCCTAATTCAATTTATAAAAATTACTTTAAAAGACACAAAGTTATATGTTTTTTAATTATAGTTTCTATTCGAAAATTTAGTAATTTTTTGTGAGGCACGTAATAGCAGGGTGATGCACAAGTAGTCAAAGTAAGTAAGCTGCAGAGTGACGCTTGCAAGTGTAACTGATTCCAAGAATTAATTCCAATAAAAGACTAATTAATGCCCCTTTCCAAAGCTAGGAGCGTCTCCCTATATATTCCCTAGTGCTTAGCCAAGCCTGCGAAGCACTTTACTTAACTAGGAAATACGATCCTATGCGATCCGTATAATTCCGATTACAATCTTTACCCAAAATAGGAAACTAGATCTACGACATCTGATACCTGTCTATATGCCATTACGTATGCTGTGGTACGGCAGGCCGTACTCGTCAAAAATCATGTTGTTTTGGCGGTTTTGAGGTTTAGGTCACATGGCAAAGGCCGCGGCCTTTTGCACGTGACTTGCGGAAATCACATAAGAAAGCTGGTTTTTCTGTAGACTTAGAGAACAATCCTTCATGAGTATTCAATCAATTGAGCTTTTGCACACTGCACACTGTTTATGCTTTACTGTTTACGCTTTTGATTTGTTGTTTTGCTGTCAAGTCACGTTTTGCGCTCTGGTGTACTTTATGTGGGTTTTTGTCTTGTCGCAGTTTGCCTCCCACAATGCCTATTATATTAACCCCTTCTCTGGGCCCTTGTCCTCAAGAGGCCTGAGAAAACTGCAAATAGCTTTACAAATAACCCCCTGAAACTTTCCTGGCTACTGGTCCTCCCCAAAAACTCCCTATACTTGCCCTATTATAACGCCAGATAATAGAGTTAGGGATATAGTTTACTAACCATGCCCAGTTAACTTGCAAATTACCTCTGGTAATTCCCCCTTATAAAGGTAGTACGGATATAGTATATACTATTAGATATAAAGCTCTTCCGGTCTCCTAATTAGTTTATAAATCTCAACTTAGCCTCTATTTGTAAATAAATTATTACTATATAGGCCCAAGAGCTTGGAAAAGTTAATCCGATCTTCTAGTTTATTTATAAATTCCTTTTTTAGAATTTTCTGGGTATTTCTAATATAGAGCCGGTTCTGAATTCGCAATTACTATTTAGAGAGAGGATATTATAAAAAGGCCTCCTTTTTCTTACTAACTAACCTTTCTTTTCTTTAATTATAATACTATATCTAGCTTCTTCTTATTTCTTGCCTTCTTTCTTTAAGCCTTCTTTAAGCCTTCTTTAAGCCTCTTTAAGCTTCTTTAAGCTTTATTTAAGTTCTTTTCTAATTCCCTTTTCTACTTCTTTATCTATTAAGATAAATACTTCTTTTAGTACTTATTAGTCTATTACTACCCGTTTGGCTAATACTCCTATATCCTTAATTTGCCCTTATTATCTTTAATATTCTAAGAATATTATTAAGTTTTCTGACCTTATTTATATTAAAAGTAATAATTGCTCGGTATATAATTACTACTATTTTAAGAATAAGAAATATAATTCTATAAGCTATAAATTTCTTCTTTTATTTCTTATTCTAATATTATCTAAAGTTCCTTAAATATATATAGTATAATTAAACTACTTTTTTTAAGCTATTAATATATATAAGCATTTTTCCTAATCTTTATTTAAAAAGGAAAAGGCTATTACTGCCCTTTTTTTATACTAAACTATATATACTTCTTATATTAAAGCTATTATTTAAAGCTAATAGATTTCTTTAATAATCTATAAAATGAGTTAAGTAATTCTTATTAGCTTAATATAAGTATAAAGTACTTTTAATAGTATAATTAATATTCTTTAATATTAAATAAGCTTATTTTCTTTTTATTTCTTACTAATAGCTAATAGCTTTATAGGCTAATTTATTATCTATTTCTTAAAAGAATTCTAATAAGAATAATAGTAAGAATAATAAAGAATAGTTATAAAAATAAGGTATTTATAGAATATAGAAATTGGAGTTTTTAAAGTTTTTAATAATTTTTATATAACTTTTCTAAAAATAAATATATAATTTTTAATAGTTTCCTAATAAAAATATTTATTTTTTATATTTCTATTTAACTAATAGTATTATAATATAGCTCTTTTCCAAATATTCTTATAATTCTTAAGCTATATTCTTTAGATTACCTAATAGTTCCTATATATTATTTATTAGTAAATAGCCCTTCTAATAAATAAGATATTTCTTTTTTTTCTATTCTTTCTATAAGCTATAATAGATTTTATCTCGAATTCCTTTTTATCTTTAATCTTGACTAGTTCTAGTTCTATTATAGTACTAGTTTATAGATACTATAGTTCTAAAAAAGAAATATGGAAAATATTATAAATCTAATATAATAATAATAATTTCAAGTAATATATTTATTTATATATTTCTATAATTTCTAGAACTTTAAAGAAGCCGAGATATCTATTTACTAGCTTTATATTAGATTATAGCTATTAAATATTCTTTATATAAAGTATAACTTTATTATATATATTAAACTTTTTATTAATATTTTTTTTTATTATAATACTTTTTTTATATATTTACTATTTCTTATTATTATTTCCCTAATATTTTTTATTTTACTTGAATTCTCTATATTCTTTCTTATATTACTAGTATTTATTTTTCTAAAATATTATTTTTAATATATAATTTAATATTAAAATAAAATTTATATAATATATAAAATAGAAAAATTCCTATTATTAAATATATAAAATTGTTATATATAAATTCTATAAGAATAAGCTTTATTATCTAGTTATTTTACTAGTAGTTAGTATAATATTTTAAGTACTATTCTAGAATTTAATTCAAATTCTCTATTTATTTATTAGTTTATAAGTAAAATACTATATTTAGCTATTATTAAACCTTTAAATAGAAATATAGACTTAACTAGAACTTATTTATAAAAACATATTCTTTATTAGAGGTTATATTTATAAATATATCGAAGTCTTTAATAATATAATATATAAATAGCTCTACTAATTCAAGAGCCGAGATTTCTTTAGTAATCGGAATATATTATATTATTTTTATATATTTATTAATAATAATAAATATAGAATTATATATCTTACTATAAAACCTAAAAGAAAATAGCTTTATAATAAAAGTTTATAGTAATTTCTTACTATAGTTTAAAGAAAAAGGGAAATAAACTAAATATATTATATAATAGATATCTTTTTATTTTAGTTTATTAATATATAAAATAAGTTCTAATATAATTTTTTATATTCTTTTTTATACTTTACTAAAAGTACTTTTTCTAAAGAATTTCTAGTATTTTACTAGTACTAAAATACCTACTTATAGAATTATTATAGTTAGTTTATAGTAATTCTTTTTTAAGAGCTAGCTTATTTAGTATATAAATAGTATTCCGATATTTTAATAACCCAGATATATTAAGTTCCCAAGTCTTAATAGTTCTAGTAAAGGTCTTCTTAAAGAACTATTTATACTACTAGTATTATATTAATAGATTAAGCCTTTAGTACTATAATAGTAGTTTAAATAATATCTTTCTACTTTTCTTATATATTATTTCGAACTCAACTATTTATATAACTAGAATCTATAATATATACTATTTATAACTAGCTATACTAGTAATAGGCTCAAGTAATAGTATTTCCGGTATTATTCTATTACTAAAATAGACTTTCTTTTTAGAATTACTTAGTATTTTATTAATTAAAAAATACTTATCTTTTTTCTTCTAGGCCTTAAATTATAATATTATAAAAATAATATAGTATTTTATTATTATTACCCATAAGGCTCTCTATTCTATATTTTATAACTTATTATAAAATATAAGTAATAAAGTATCTTTATTTATATTTATTATAAAATCTGGCCTTTTTAATAACCTATTAATAGAATTACTATATCCCGGCTAGTATTCTAAAATAAAATTAAAAATAGCTAGCTTTTTTATTTATCTTATCTAGTAACTATTTAGTTTTCTTTTAGTTATAAAGTATTTCAAGTTATTATAATTTATTTTAATAATAATAGTATA